CGAACCCGGGACCCTTCAGTCTCCAAGCCGACGCTCTATCCATTGAGCCAAACCGGTCCGGGTGAAATATATTTTTAACAAAAGAAAAGAATTCTGGACTGAGCCCCAGAGCGAGAAGATCCACGTGGACGGAGTCAGGGATGATGTGCTATATCGTGGGCATCCTCCTCTGCACTGTGACCTTGACCTCATCTATGTTTATGAATTCCACGATCAATGCCATGTGACAACTGCTCTACTCCCTCACCCACCCGGGCGGTCTCAGTCCCCTGGCGTCAAATGCCCATTGGGCATCTTCCCCCTCACCCTGGCTGTTAACAGCATCCCCAGACATTGTCCGCAGCCAGCCAGGCCCTTTATGCTGTCAACTCCACTCCTGAACTATGTCCCCATCTGCTCTCTCCTCTCTGTCCCAACTGCCACCGAGCAGGTCTTTGGCACCTTTCACCTGAATAGTTGCAACAGCCTCCTGGCCAGGCTCCCGGCTCCAGCCACAGTGCTCTGCCTGTGCCTCCTGCATAGCCTTCCTAATGTGCTTCTGCGATTGCATCACTCTTGGACTCAAAAGCCGTTCGTTGTTTCCAACCACATACAGAATAAAGTTCAAATTCTTCTGCGGGATATTTGAGGCTGTCTATGGTATGTACGCACTCTTCTTGCCCAGCCCCATCTCCACTGTTGTGCCACAGAGGTCAGTGGTTACGGGGTTGCTCTGGAGTGAAAATCAAGTCCATTTAGCACTTCCTAGCTGTGTTACTTTGGGCAAGTTTCTCAACCTCTCTGAGCCTTAGTTTCATAATGTATTAATTAAGACTTACAGCCCTGGCCGGTTTGGCTCAGTGGGATATAGAGCGTTGGCCTGAGGACCCAGGGGTCCTGGGTTTGATTCCGGTCAAGGGCACATGCCCGGGTTGTGGGCTCACTCCCCAGTAGGGGGCTTGCAGGAGGCAGCTGGTCGGTGATTCTCCCTCATCATTGATGTTTCTATTTCTCTCTCCCTTCCTTTTTGATATCAATATATCAAGGGCCCAAGTCAGTTTGGCTCAGTGGATACTGAAATCATTGATGTTTCTCTCTCTCTCTCTCCCTGTTCCTTCCTCTCTGAAATCAATAAAAATATGTTAAAAGATGATTTCTCTAAAAGTACCAATGTCATGGGGTTGTTGTGAGGATTAGTAAAATCACATATATGATGTAATAAGCTTACTGCCAGGTCCCAGTAAGCATTCAAAAAATATAGGGGTCATTATTACTATTACAAACCTGATGCCTACCACGACTTCCCTGATTATTCAGAAGGGATTTCTCTCTTCTCGTACTTTCCTTCTATCCCACCCACTCACTGTGTGCCTTGGCTCATTCCTCAATTAGGTTGGATTTAACTTTTAAAGAATGCCTGCACCTCTGCCTCCTTTCCATGCAGACTCCTTGTCATTTCTGTAAAGCTCCGCATCCCCATCCATTCCATACTGCTAGGCAAACTGTGGAAACTTTGCTGTAAGCTTTTCAACGGAATAATTCATTGAAAGAACGAGGGTCACTTTTCCTCCACCACTCTGGACTCACTCCAGAATCCTAGGGCAGCAAGGGGACCCCACCCTGATTCACCCTCCTTCAACACAATGTGGAGCGGATCTTAGGACAGGACAACGCCCCGCCCTCCCCACCCTCTGCTGTCCCAGACACACCTTGAGGATCTCATCTCCAACAATGATGATGCCCGCCGTCACGTTGCGCCCTGGGGGAGGTGCAGAGGCCCTAGATGCCATGGTCCTGCCTCCTCTGCCCCTCTGCCAGGCCCTCCAGTAGCCACCCAGACCCCCAAACAGGGAGCGCAAGCACGGGAGTACCGCCAGATCTAAAGAGCACGGGGGGCCATAGGCTGGGAACAGGGGGTCCGGGGTCGAGGCAACCTGGAGGAGCCAGAAAGGAAAATGGGGGAGAGCAGGAGGGCATGGTCTTCCTCACCAGGCCCTTGACAACTGACTCCTTTATTCCTGCCTCTTTCTTAAACATGTTCTCAAAATCCAGCCCATGCCTCTTTTAAATGTTTTCTAAGCTTGGCTCTAGAGTCTAGTCTTAAAATGTCCTGCTCCAGCTACCACTCTAAAGATCTTGTGTCTGCCGAGCTCGGTTCCTCGGGTCTGCTCTATCTTGGACACCTACACCTTTAAATGTCTTTTCTCTTTGGGGCGCCTGTCCCTTTAAATGTCTGCTCCTGGGACTTGGGCTCTTTAAATTCTTCCCTTCCTCCACCCGAACCACAACTCAGCCGTCTTCTTCTCCAGGCTTCCGCACCCTTTCCAGCCCGAACCCCACCTCTTCCCACTGCTCTCTGACAGCTGAATTCTCTCAGGTTCTCACCTGCTCCAGCCCCTTCAGCAGGTCTTTCCCTCTCTCCTCTCCTCTTGTCCCAGGACAGCTTCCGTACTCACAGTCCCACCTCGGAGCCACACTTAGCTCGTCTTAATTGGTCCTTTCGGCTGTCGCTCAGACTACCGTCACGTGTTCATTGGTGAAGTCGACTGTCACTCGCGAGTCTTAGCCAGCGGGCGGGAACAGTACTGGGTTGTTATTAGCGACAACCACGTGGTCACCCTTTGCCCGGAAACGTGGAGGCCGAGCCCAGGGGGTGGTGGCGGGGATGGGGAGGGGCGGGACGGAGGGGCAGGGCGGGACGGAGGGGCAGGGCGGGAGGGCTGGGGTGGGAAAGGAGTTGTGGTTGGAGAGGCTTTAAGGATTTTGAGGTGCTTTCTGCTGTTAGAAATAAAGGGAGGCTTGACCTTTGTTTTGTATTCAGATTCTCGTGTGCATAGCTGTTTTCATTAGCCATAACCCTGTTATTGGCTAAGGGGTCAATAACAGAGCTGCTACTGGTGTTTGAAGGGATGTTATATTATAGCAGATGGAGGGACAAGAACAATGGTTAGCACTGCCTGTGAGGTAGGAAGATCTGGAATGTGGAGCGGACGTTTTAGTGTGTAGAACTTTCATTTGTCTCTGATATAAACAATGAAGCTAATTATTTAAGCTTCATTGACAAGACAGAGCTTGCTCCAGATGGTGCTTGGTTTAAGCATCACCTGTTATTGCTCTTGCAAGTACAGTGATGGCAGCGACTAGGGAGTGCCATGTGTCCACGCTGTACTACTCTCCTTACTCGCATTCAATTGCCTATGGTCTAACAGTGTTCATCAAATCCTAATGTTCTTACTATTCATCTGAATGATCTTGGGTGGGGACTGAGATCTGTATTTAAGTTCTCGGTCATGAGGATGCTACTGGTCTGTGGACTTTTTTTGTATAATGTTTAGAATCCATTCATCATTTGGAAGCCTGCTGAACCACACCTGGCTGGCCTCATATGATTCCTAAAAACCCTTTAAGACAGTTATGATGTGTTTTACAGATGGGCAACAGGCTCAGAAAGGTGAAGGGATGCCACACAAAATAAAGTGGATGGTAGAACCAAGCTTCTAGACCATTTTTTCTCGAGAAAACTCTAAAAAATAAAGTCGCCCCCCCCCCAAAAGAAAGCCCTACTTGCCTAACAACATAAGCCATGTGCTTTATTATCTTGATGATTAATAAAGGTCATATTTTGGAGGTAACTCCCCCCCAAAAAACAACACAACAACCCATTCAAACATCAGCTCTGGTCCAATCATTTATCAGTGGCTTCTCAAGCTGAGCATGCACTACAATCGCCTGGAAAGCTTGTTAAAGTGTTGTTGTTTATGATTAAGTCTAGGGTGGAGCCCAAGAACGCACATTTCTAATGAGTTTCCAGATGATGTTGATGCTTCCGGTCTAGGGACTACACTGGTATTGCTCTTGGAACAAACAGATGGAAGACAGGGAAAAGGTGAAGATTATCTCCCTTACTTAGTACTGTTATTTTTAAAAGTATGATTTAGTGAAATGTTTTCTTGAACAGCTAGTTTCCTGTTTTCTCAAAGTTAGTGCTGTAACTACCTACATAGGAATGCTTGAAATCCCCATATCCAGGCCACACTCCAGGCCAATTAAGTCAACACCTTTAGGAACGATTTACAAATCAGTCCTTTTAAAGCTACCCAGGGGATTCCAATGCTCAGCCATAGTGAGAATTACTGAAAACCCCCAACCAGTGTGCAGTGAAGAGGCCATACGGGTGCCGGAGCCTAGGCTAGGCAGGAATGGAGCCACTACCAGCCTCCAGCTGATGGCCCTCCCTCCCCCTGTGTGCCCTTCACACACTGGGACCATATTAAAGGCGGCATCCCTGTCTGTGGGAAACAGGTCCCTTGTCTACATGAGATGATGTTATCCCTATACAACCTCTACCTTTGGCCAGTAGTTAAATCAAAATATATTTCAGTCTATGTTTGACAGCATGTCTACTTTTAAGATTAGATTAAAAACCAGTTACCTGTTGAAATAAACCTCATTATCAGCAAAGCTGAGCTTCATTATCTAACTGAAGGGCATATAATTAGAACCATATATTGAATGCTCAGCCTGAGAGGGGGAAAAAACCTTGACAAGCAGAGAACTAGATTATAAAAAAAATTCCTCTTTAATCAAGGTTTTTAACACGAAATAGAGTTCTTGAATAAAATGGAAAGTTTCCAATACATTGAAACATAAATCCCCATACGTACACCTGGCAGAAAAAAAAACAAAACAGCAAATTTACACAATCCCTGTTCCAGCCGTGGTCTCATTCTTAGATGCTTCCTCCATCTGCCACGTGTGTCCTGCTGGGTACAGAACTCATCATGGTTTCAGGGGTCACACTCAGCTGGGGCTGCAGCCCTGAGCACTCCTCTGGCTGGCCGTGCTGCGGCTGGCTCTGCTTAAGTCGCAAAGCAGTCACCGGCACATTTCAAACAGTGTATTTTAAACATCCGTTAAATAGCAAAGTGAGAAACAAGAAGGCAACACAATGTTATCAGAAAGCTGTTAGCAAGTGAGGACAGCTGAGGACGGCCAGAGGCTGAAAAGCGGCTCCAGCTTCACTACTTTGGCTTCTTGGGCAGCGGCCTCCGGAACAGCAAGATGTGAGGTTCTGAAAGAGCGAGTGAAATCTGAGACAAGCTAACACCGTCTACGCACCCTCTACAGGGTACCCCACTCCCATTTCCCAGCTATCACCCACTCGGACCCTGATAACTAAATTGAGACTTAAGCATATGGCTTTAGAAGCAGACCCATCAGCCTGGCCTGCCAGCCAAGTACACAATTGTTAATATAGTTATTCTGCTGCGTTTGTGAAGCCCAGGGTGTCCTTTATCAGTTCTGCTTGACAGCTCGGTGTCTGGTGTCTTATCAGGAAATATATTTCCTGTGGCTTATTTGGAACACATCCAAGAATTCTTTCTGATGGATAATGAAGTAGGGACCATAATCTCTCCCAGAGTATATATGGCCTTAAAATGGTATATGTACAAAGATAATAATTTAATAAAAAAAAATTTTTTTTTTTAAAAGAGAATACTCTCTGAGTGAATTAGATACTAAAGGTTTTTCAGGAACGGCTTGTCTCTGAACTTCCTATATACGTCACTCTATTTTTGGTCACTCCAATTTTTCTAGATGACAGGTGGGGTAAGATACCGGGGAACTACCCCCACCTCCCCCTTATTTCTTTGGGTTATGTGACCTGTCATTTCCTCAGGGAAACAGCCCTACATGGTTCCTTCAGCCATGGCACTGACCTGGTTCATGGATCATATAATGGACCCATCCCTGACTCTGCTGAACACCAAGATTCCTCCATTCAGATTCTGACATCAAATGGGTTTTAGGGACGAGCTTGGCTATGTCCTTGGGCAACATGACATGCCTGTAACAGAAACATGGGAAGGTAGGGAATTTGTCAATACTGGGTAGTCTGTTAGGCAAGTGCCTACATACAAAGCAGGAGACAAACAAACCAGTTTCTGATGGCAGGGAGTTAATCTTATTGTGGGATACAGGCAGCTAGAAATAAAGGCCAATTTGGCCTTTAAAATCTATTCTTCATTTTCTTAATTCTGAAGGGATGTGCCATGAGACTTTCAGGAACCTTCCTGCTTTCCTAACCAAGGATGAGTCTCTTCATGGCCAAGAAATTATTACTCTAATTTGAATTGTGCTAACCCAGGCACACTTTATCATGCTAAATGAAAATGTACTAGTAACAGATTTTTTTTCCTAAAGAATCTGTTCTTGTCTGAATGTCTGAAAATAGCTAACTGTCTAACAAGCCCCTGGCACGAAGACTAGGTTCAATAACTAATTAGGCAAAAAAAAAACAAAACCCCAAGCCAAATACCCCCCACCAAAACACAAAAGCTTTTCTTAAACCTAAATGCCACTGCCAAGATTATATCTTCAAGGGTGAAACTAGTGCCTTCCCCTCCCTGGCCCTGCCATGTCCTACAAACACATAATTTTAATCAGCTCAGTTCAGATGTAGAAGAAAACAGCTGAGGAAAAGGAAGTTAATTGGCCTGGGGTCTTTTCCCCCCTGGACCTGGCAGAAAGACCATTAATGTATTTGTCAGCACAGGCCGAGCTCTCCAGCCAGAGGGTCCAGAGCCCTGTGCTAGACTGGAGAAGAAACACAGCATGTTTCCATTTCATGGTCTTCGATTGAGAAGACAAGGTACAAACCAGGAAGTTGTTTTAAGCATCACACCGAATACAATTAGTGGAAGGCCGACATTTGTAGAACCCCTTCCGATTTTCTACTCTAGAACTGTGAGTTTAGGATGTATCCAGCGCAGACTCTGTAGAAATTCCTTTCTTCACCATCCTTGGCAAGTCGTAAGTGCTGCCATCACAATCTGTATCTATATCACACCAATTATCAGCTTCTCTCTGAAGTCTGTCAGTATCTCCACGTATTATTTTAGGCTTGTTGAAAGCAGACACCATGCTTTTACCCTTGAGCTTTAGTAGAACCTATAAACACCCCATTATTGTTTCCTACACGAACCCCCTTCAAATAGTTGAAGGGTATCGACTGAGTCCATGTTAAGTCTTTTTCTCCATGTTCCTGACCAGTTTATTCCATTCCAGGCCCTCGAAGCCCCACCTCCTGAATTTAAGCCGAACAACCACGCCCCCTTTTCAGGAATTAATGGGGGACACTCGCTCTGTATTGAAGACCCGAGGAAAATTGGAGCTCCGCCTTTCCCACCTTTCCCCAGTAGGTTCCGTATGTTATTGGCGTTGCCGAGATACCAGCTGTCCTTAAGAAGGCAAGTCCAACGTGCTCAGTGAAGTTTAGAATGGCTCCGGAACCCCAAGGGGCGAAGGTGGGCTGCAGGCGAACGCTCTAAACCACGCCCACCTCCCCCCCCACAAGAGGATTTGCTCCGAATTCCGTACTGTTCCTTTTACTCGCGTCGCCTACCTCCGCGCATGCGCGTTACGCTCTCAACCACCCGCCACCCCGTCCCGTTAATCTGCTGCGCACGCGCCCATTCCGTCTTTTCCGTAGTCCTCGTTACTAACTCCTCGAGCCCTCACTTGTCAAAGCTCCACCCCCTCGTTATGGCCCCCACGCCGGCACTAACCGGTACTCGAACTCCTCGTCGTCGTATTTGTCCGAATAGTAAATCTGTTTGTGCGACATGATCGCTCCGCCTGAGATCGTCAGCCCCGCGCCGCCAACCTCCAAACAACTCCCAGCAGCACGCGCTCCCACCCACTTTGGCCTCACTTTCAAACACGCCGCCTGGGCTTCCTATTGGCCCCTCCGATTTAAGGCGGGACAACTCCGTCTCCAAGCCTCCTATTGGCTTATATTTGCTTCTCGTCGAGTCCCTATTGGAGCGCGCTCGTTACGTTTCTCAAGGGCGAGCTTAGGTAAAAAAACAGGCCTCTCATTGGCTAGAACCGCTTCTGTGCGCGTTCCCGCAGTGCCATTGGCTGACCCAGGAAAGTGGGACGGGTGAAGGAGGGACGGTGGGGTAGAGGGTCAGGGGTTAGCGAGGCCGGAAGTGAGTGCAATAAAGTTTCTCCAGGGAGGCCTTCCCGGGGAGAAAGTTGGAGCAGCGACCTAAGGAGGCACTGGCGTGATCCAGGACCAAATCACCCCGCGGTGCGGTGCAGAGACTCCATGAGGCCCTGGTGAGTTGGGACGACTTTTTCCCCCTTAGGTGACCCACTCCTCCACCCCGGAACCCCTCTCTCGGGACCCTACTTCCGGTCTTCATTCATAAGCCACGCCCCCTAGGACCCCCTCCCCGGAAGTCCCACCTCCCAGCCTCGGGGGGCTTTGTATCCCTGAACCCTGACTTGTTTTCCACTTATTGTCCCTGACCCCACCCTGTCGCCCCGATTCCCTGGAAGTCCCACCCCCTAGGCACGCTTTCGAGCCCTACTACACGGAACGGCACGTTGGTCCTTTCCAATTCCCCGAAACTCCGCCTCAGCGCGACGATTCTCTGCTAGCTGACTGCTGCCTACCAAAAAGTCCCATCTCCCGAAAGGGCAAAACCCTGCCCAGGGCGCTACACTGTTCCAATCCGCGAAACCACGCCTTTCTAGAGGCTCGGCCCTTGTAGATGTCCCGCCCCTTCCTTAATCCACGTCGGATTGTCCCCGAAGCCTGGCCTCCTAGGAGTCTCCAAAACACGGGTCGTAGGGGATTCATCCTTGTGGAACCCAGGTCTTCACCTCAGCAGCTTTGTCTTCCACCCCAGAAACTCCCCTCTGCTCGTATTTCCCTGATCTTTTCCTCTTTGGGGTTTTGGGCTCAGTTTTCCTGCATGCTCCCCCAGGTGGAGAGTCCAAGTTTCCATCTGTGGGTCTGAGGAGTGAGATCAGAGACAGCCCTTTTCCTTTCCTTTACCCCCTTCCGAGGCTGGCTCCCCGCAGGGGGCTGGACTTGGGGTTTGGCACGAGGGTGGGAGAGAGAGACTTGCTCGTAGATTTCTGGCCCCACTCCCTGAGTTTCCCTCCCCAGGACCCGCCCAGCCCAGAACCAGCGGTTATGTCTCCTACCTGGACCAGGGGAGTTGGGTAGGGGGCATTTGGTTGACTGTGAAGTTTTCTACCATCAGAAAACGGTGACTTGGGTGGGTGTAGGGGGCAGTGACCTTTTTGCTGTTTGATTTTTTTTTTTTTTAAAAGGGTTCTGCTCAGCCTCCCACCACTTCTCTGGCTCTTCCCCTCCCCCCTAACCAGAGTTCTTGTCTGGGCATTCCTTCTGGTCCCGCTCGCCCAGCCTTCCTTTCGGGAAACATTCCTGAGGCTTTCCACATTTCCTGCTACTTCCCGCTCTCGCCGCCGCCTCCTCCCCGCTGGTCTGAGAAAGCGCATGCAGCCTCTCCCCACACCCATCACCCGTGGACCATCTCCCATCTTTCTGTGAGCCCCAGGTCTCCTTACTTTTTCCCCAAATGCTCACACCTGTTGGTCGTTTGCTGCCTGTGGGTGCTGCAGGCTCCTACAGAATGCCCCCTCTCGAGATGAAGACATCCTGGCGCGTGTTTGCCTGTGTGAGGTTTTGGCAGAACCCCTTCCTCACGCTCCCTGTGCCTGAGCGCTGAGCGCTGAGCCTCAGGAAGTGGACGGAGAGAACTCCTTCTCAGGAGCGGAGGATGACATGACAGCTCTCCTCTGATGAGGACCGAGGGCGGGGAAAGAGCTTAGCACACCATGTGGTTATTTGCATGTGTTTTTTTTTTGTTTTTGTTTTTTAATCTTCTGAAGTAATTTAAGGATAGGTAATTCCGAGGAGAGCTTAGGAGGTATGTGTATGTTCCTACTTCCCTTTTGTTCATTTTCCAACTTCCTCTATAGCCCCCTCCAGCAGAGCTGAAGCAGGAAGCTGTGGGCAGAGAGAGTGGGTTTGGGATGGTTTCCCTGTGTCCAGCCTCGGCCTCTCTCCTCTCCCGTTCTTAGCACAGATTTCACACTCCCACCTCCTCCAGCCAGACTTTGCCCTTGGTATGAGAGGAACTATGTCCCCTGGTGGACACATGGGCCCTCCCCAGTCATCCCTGCAAAAGGCGGGGGAGCTGACCTTGGAGTCGGTGCCCTGCCCCCTCCCCCCTTCTACCCTTGACAGCTGGCTTTGCTTACTTGGCCTGTGGGAAGGGGGCAGAACAGTGCTTGCCTGTCCCTGCATAGTAGATGCCACCGGCCTGCCCTCGGCTCCAGCTCCTCTCCCCTTCCCTCCCCTCCCCTCCCCTCCCCAGCTGTGTCCTTCTCTTTATTCTCTGGGACCACTTTCTTCCTTTCCCCATTTCTTTTTTTTCTTTTAAAAAAATTTATTGATTTAGAGAGAGAAAATGAGGGGAGGAGGGGGTTGGAAAGAGAGAGAGAAAAATATCGTGTTGTATTTTTTTTGTTCCACTATTTATGCATTCATTGGTTGCTTCTCCTATGTGCCCCGACCAAAACCTTGGTGTTTTGGGACGATGCTCTAATCAACAGAGCTCCCCAGCCGGGCTCCTTTCCCCATTTCATCCACCGTTTGTTTATTGATTTTAGAGAAGGGAGGGAGAGAGAGAAACATGGATGGGTTGTCTCCTGATGTGCCTGGCCTGGGTGTGTGCCCTGACTGGGAATCAAACCTGCAGCCCTTTGGTGTCCTGGGCGATGCTCCAACCCACACAGTGAGGGCTCCTTTCCCGTTTCCTCAGCTCTGTCCACAGCTGTGGTGGCAGAGGGCGCTAATGGCCCGGCTCCCTGGGGCCCCCACCCCGCTGTGGGATGGGGATGGGGTGGGGGTTTGTGTTCAATCTAACAGGAAGGGAAATGCTGAGCTCAGGGTTCTCCTCCCTTTTCCACTCCAGCTGCCTCTGTTTCCTCCCTCATTCCCCCCTGCCCTCCCTCAGCTTCCTGCTCCCTCTGCCTGCGCTTGTCCGGTGTGGACTGAGCCACATCTCCTCCTCTTCCCTCCTTTCCTCTCACCCTTCCCTCCCACCCCCTTTCCTCTTCCCTCCCACTCCCACTTTATCCTCCCTTCCCACCCCCCACTTTGCTCTTCCCCAGATGCTGGTTGTTTGTATGGGGTGGGGGTGGGCAGGGATCGCTCTGCCTCCGCTCAGCTCTGGGTTGGGGCAGTGGAGGGGGCTCAGCCCCTGGAGCCTGTGAGTCAGCACTGTCTCCGGGATTGGTCTCTCCCCTCAGCTCCCCGCCCTTGGGGAGGAGCCAGGCAGCTCTGGGTGCAGCCTGCTCTGCTCTCAGCCGGAGGAGACGCTCCGCGCCGGGCGGGGATGGGGCTTGGGACTGTGTGTGTCTGACCTGGGGGAGCCGGAGGAAGCGGAGCCACTGCCTCTCTTCCTTCCCAGGACCCTGGCGCTCCCTGGGCCATAAAGGGCCCGTCAGGCTAAGGGCCTGGGGATGCCCCCTGCCTGGCCCCCTTGCCCGGACTGGGCTGCAGCCTCCCTCTCACTCCAGCCATGGATCTCCTGCCCCCCAAGCCCAAGTACAACCCACTCCGGAATGAGTCTCTGTCATCGCTGGAGGAGGGGGCCTCCGGGTCCAGCCCGCCTGAGGAGCTGCCTTCCCCATCAGCCTCTTCCCTGGGGCCCATCCTGCCACCTCTGTCCGGGGAGGACAGCCCCACCACCCTGTGCTCCTTCTTCCCCCGGATGAGCAACCTGAAGCTGGCCAACCCGGCCGGCGGGCGCCCGGGGCCGAAGGGGGAGCCAGGCAGGGCGGCCGAGGACGGGGAGGGGGTCGCGGGGGCGGCCGTGCGGGACTCAGGCCCCCTGCCCCTCCTCCAGGACATGAACAAGCTGAGTGGAGGCGGCGGGCGCAGGACTCGGGTGGAAGGGGGCCAGCTGGGGGGCGAGGAGTGGACCCGCCACGGGAGCTTTGTCAATAAGCCCACGCGGGGCTGGCTGCACCCCAACGACAAAGTCATGGGACCCGGGGTTTCCTACCTGGTTCGGGTGAGTGACCGTCTGCCCCCCCCCCCCCCCGGGCCTCTCCGCCCTCCGCCCGCTCTGGCTTTGCTGGCATCTCTCTTCCTGCTCTTCCCCGGCAACCCCCTTGGTCTCGGTGTCCTTTTCCCTAAACCTGCCTCGCTCCTTCTCTGGCTCTGCAGCCCCTTCCTTTGGCCTGGGTCCCCCTTCCTTCTCGTGACTCCCCCTCCCCTCCCTGCCATGCCCAGCACAATGCCCAGCCCAGGGGAGGCCCCGAGTAAGTGTTGGAATGAGTGACTTTTGATTGTCTCCTCCCCGTTTCTAGAGATGTCACTTCATCCCACCCATCGCCTGTCCCAGTTCTCTTCCCGCTGTACGAGGTCCTCTCAGCTTGCCCATTCCTTCTCTGCTCACTCCCTGTGGTCTTGTATGGTGTGGGCTGTGGCAGAACTCACTCTTCTCTGCCTCCCTGAGGGACCATGGAGAGAAGCATCCTAAAGCCCTTGGGGAGGGGGTGGGGGCGGGGCTGGCGGCTAACCTCCCGCTCTCCCCTCAGTACATGGGCTGCGTGGAGGTCCTGCAGTCCATGCGTGCCCTGGACTTCAACACCCGGACTCAGGTCACCAGGTTAGCGGGGAGGGGGCGGACCGTGGGACTCCTGGGGCTGGTGAGGGGAGGTGGGGAGCGGGTCCCTTGCTGATGGGGTTTGTGAGGCTTCTCTCTGGGTGGCGAAGGGGATGGAGAGGAAGTCGGGGGAATGATTCGATAAGTCTGAATGAAAAGAGGCAGCGCTGGCCTGGATCCTTCTTACTCATCCAGCCCTGGAGCTGCGGGAGGAGGTGGCAGAGGCAGCTGGCAGCTGGAGCTTGAGTGGAAGGTGGGGGCAGATAGAAGATTGGTGCTGCCTTTGGGAAGGGAATGGGGCATTTGGTAGCTGGAAGGGGGTGGGGCCAGTCTATGGAGGCCCTAACCCAATCAGCCAGGAAGTGGCCTCTCAGTGTCATCAAATATTAAAGGCCTTTAATTCAATCCACCACGACAAAGAGCCTGGAGTGCCCCTGGAGTCTGGCCGGGCCTTCCCCTCCCCCTCCCCAGCCCCGTGGCAGCCCCAGCCCGGTGAGGCTGGCTCTGAGTGCCCCTCTTCCCCCAGGGAGGCCATCAGTCTGGTGTGCGAGGCTGTGCCAGGTGCCAAGGGGGCTTCAAGAAGGAGAAAGGTACCCGGGGTGGGAGGGGTTAGGGATGCCCTGGGAGCTGGGGGGGGGGGGCGGGGCAAGGGCACGTAGGGGACCTGTGGGGAGGAAGCCCAAAGGCAGGAGTGTGGGGGTTTCTGGGGAATTGGGAACCCCTCTCTTCTGAGACCCTTGGGTCCTTCCTCAGCCCTGTAGCCGCCCGCTCAGTTCCATCCTGGGGAGGAGCAACCTGAAATTTGCTGGAATGCCAATCACTCTCACCGTCTCCACCAGCAGCCTCAACCTCATGGCGGCGGACTGCAAGGAGGTTTGTGGGGCTGGGCAGAGGGGCCACCGACACCCATGGGAGGGCCAGGCGGGGACCTGGCTGTGCGGTGAGGAAGGAGGAGAGAAGGCTTGGCAGCAGTGGGGCAGCAGGGAAGGAGGTGGTTAGGAGGACACAGGGTAAGAAGGTAAAAGGATGAGAATGAGTCTCCGAGGTTCTGGGCCAGGGATGGGGGGGCACTCGGGTGAGCCCCGAGGCTGACACCTCATTCCCTTCCTTCTCCATCCCCTGCCCTAACCCTCAGATCATCGCCAACCATCACATGCAATCTATCTCATTTGCGTCCGGCGGGGACCCGGTGAGTTGGGGAGCAGAGCAAAGTGGGGGGGAGGAGAGGAAGGGACAGGGATTGGGAAGGTGCCGGCCAGGGAACAGGGCATGCTAAATGGTGGCGATATCGAAAAGGACTGGCATTTAGGGTCAGGAGTGAGGCGGGCTGTCAGGTTGAGCTAACGGGCCTCTCCTGACACTCTGCCCATCCAGGACACAGCCGAGTATGTCGCCTACGTTGCCAAAGACCCGGTGAACCAGAGAGGTGAGGCTTGGCGGGGAGTGCTAGGTGGGGCCGGCCCTCCTGAGGCAGGTGAGCGGGGCCAGGGCTTGTGCTGAGGAGGAGGGGGGCTCTTGTCTGCACCTCCTCCCAGCACCCCCGCCTGCCTCAGAGCTCACCGACAGTCTCCGCTGTGCCCCCAGCCTGCCACATCCTGGAGTGTCCCGAGGGGCTTGCTCAGGACGTCATCAGCACTATCGGCCAGGCCTTCGAGTTACGATTCAAACAATACCTCAGGAACCCGCCCAAGCTGGTCACCCCCCACGACAGGTGAGTGGGGGAGGAGGGGGAGGGGCAGGCAGCTTCTGGGCCCCGGACCAGGATTGGGAAAGAAGGACTGCTATTCCCACACTTGAGCTCAGAATGGTTCAGGGAAGGAAATAACCTGTGTGCCCCCCGCTTCCCACTTCCTGCTATTCTTCTGCTTCCTGTGGCTATCTGCAAAGCCTTTCGAGGCCCTGCCTGCTGCGGGGCCAGCTCTCCCCTCATTCCCGGGGGGGAGCTATAGCCCAGGCCTCCGTGTTGTAGTCCGTCCTGGCTGGATGGGCTCTGCACCCCCAGCGGCCTCGTGTCTGGCCTGTCCCTCTTTCTTGCCCGTTTCCCCATCCTTAGTTCTTTGTTTTCCTTCCCCTCGAAGCCTCTGATGGTTGGAGGCAGGGAGGATGGCTCTTTCCTGAGGTCCTCGCCTTTCCTCTGGCCGGTAGGTACTTGGCAGAGATTAAAATACTCTGGAGTGCCTCCTCGCACTTAGGAGACAGTGTAATGATCAAGGGTATGAACTTTATTTTATTTTTAATAAATTTATTGATTTTTAACAGAGAGAAAGGGAGAGATAGAGAGCTAGAAACGTCGATGAGAGAGAAACATCGACTAGCTGCCTCTTGCACACCCCTACCGGGGATATGCCCGCAACCAAGGTACATGCCCTTGACTGGAATCGAACCTGGGACCTTTCAGTCCGCAGACCGACGCTCTACCACTGAGCCAAACCGGCTTCGGCAAGGGCATGAACTTTAAAGTCAAATCTGAATTTAAATCTCAGGTGAACCACCTTTCATGGGGAGACCCCGAGGAAATCTTTTCACCTCGGACCCTCATCTTCCTCATCTACACATGAGGCGTGGCTCAGTGGTTGAGCGTCAACCTGTGTACCAAGTCACATGCTAGGTTGTGGGCTCTATCCCTGGTGTGGGGCGTGCAGGAAGCAGCCAATCAATGATTCTCTCTCATCATTGATGTTTCCCTCTCCCCCTCCCTCTCTGAAGTCAATAAAAGAATATGTTTTATAAAAACTGGGAAAGGAAATCCTACTTTATAGAGGTGCAGTGAGGATGAAATGATCATATAAAACACTCAGCCTAGGGCTAAACCCAAAGGAAGTCCTAATACATGGCCATTGTTTCTTTCCCCTCCCTCCACCCTCCCACCCCCTTCCCCACTCCCTCCTGTTCTTCCTCTCAGGATGGCTGGCTTTGATGGCTCAGCTTGGGATGAGGAGGAGGAAGAGCCACCTGATCATCAATACTACAATGACTTCCCGGGGAAGGAACCCCCTCTTGGGGGGGTGGTGGACATGAGGCTTCGGGAAGGAGCCCCCCAGGGGCCTGCTCGACCCACTCTGCCCAGTGCCCAGAGCCCCAGCCACCTGGGAGCTACGCTGGTAAGTTGCTTTGAGAAAGGTGGACTGGGCCTGGGATAGGAGTGGCTGGTTAGGGCCTCTGGTTTCACCGTATTTTTATTCCTTCAGCCAGTGGGGCAGCCTGCTGGGGGAGACCCGGAAGTCCACAAGCAGATGCCGCCTCTGCCACCCTGCCCAGGTATGGAGGGGGCTGAGAGAGCCAGGGGCCCAGGAGGCAGGGCTGAGGTCACTGAACACCTCCCTTTCCCCAGCAGGCAGAGAGCTCTTCGATGACCCCTCCTACGTCAACATCCAGAACCTGGACAAGGCCCGGCACGCAGGGGGCGGGGCGGGGCCTCCCAATCTTGCTGTCAATGGCAGCGCGCCCCGAGACCTCTTTGACATGAGTGAGTGCTTCTCCATTCCGTATCCCGTATCCCCGTCTTTCTACTTGGTTCCTCTTCTGCTCTTTCCTTCCTGGCCTCCCCGCCCTGAAGGTTCTGGTCCTGGACGTGTGTTGTGCTGGCCGCCTCTCCTAGTCCTCTCTCTGCACCCCCAGAGCCTTTTGAAGATGCCCTTCGGGTGCCTCCACCCCCCCAGTCAGTGGCCATGGCTGAGCAGCTCCGAGGGGAGCCCTGGTTCCACGGGAAGCTGAACCGGCGGGAGGCCGAGGCCCTGCTGCAGCTCAACGGGGACTTCCTGGTGCGGGAAAGCACGACCACGCCTGGCCAGTACGTGCTCACCGGCCTGCAGAGCGGGCAGCCCAAGCACCTGCTGCTGGTGGACCCTGAGGGCGTGGTGAGTGGCAGGGGGATGGGTGGCGGTGCCCTCCTGTGCGGTTCTGTTCCTTCGCTTGTTGTTTCTTATTTTTTCCCAGCTGGGCGCCTCTGTATGGTCCTCCCCGCTCTCACAGTGCCTGGCATCCCCCATCCGGCAGCTTAGGGTTCTTTCCCTTCTCACATTCCTGAGCATGAGCTGTGTTCCCTTCAGTGCTGGCCAGTCCTCAGATCTACCAACGATGCCCAGGAGAGTTAGAAGGTGCTTATCTCACTGGAGCCCCCCTTTTTAGTCAAATGAGGTGGCCATCTTGGAGAGGTTGTGCTCAGTGTCAGATGGTTACAGGCTAGACCACTGGGCTAGACACTCCAAGTCTCCTCTTACCAGTGGAGCCAGAGGCTCCGTCCCTCATAACGTTGGTCTCTCTTCTGCAGCATTCTCAGCTTCCGTGCCACATCCTTCTTGTCCTGTGTATTCTCCCCAAGACTTGCTGCCTTCCTCCAGGTCAAGGGAGGAGTGGATATCCCTCCCAGTTTCTGATGTTCTCTCGGCGTTCCCCAATTCACGGCCTTCCCATTCATGACCTTCTCTAGCTCCTTTTCTAGAAAAGCCTCAAAGATCAGGAGGGACAGCCCTCCCACCCCTTCCATCTCTTTCTCCTCACCTTCTTGAATACGGCAGCTTCTGAGGCGTGGGGGCTGAGTCCTTCATTTGACGCCTCACCTGAAGGGACCCTCTTCCTTCCCACCCCCCAGGTCCGGACAAAGGACCACCGCTTCGAGAGCGTCAGCCACCTCATCAGCTACCACATGGACAATCACCTGCCCATCATCTCCGCGGGCAGCGAACTGTGTCTGCAGCAGCCGGTGGAGCGGAAATTGTGATCCGTCCCAGGTGCTTTCCAGAAAGCTCCCTCCCACCTGTCTGCTATTCCCCGACTTCAGGACCTCCCTCTGGGGCGTCCTGTGAGCTTGGCCTTGTGTAGGAGCTGGGTGTAGCGTGGACACTGGGGCTAGCATCCAGCTCAGGGAGAGAGTTTGAGTCAGGAGCCTGGGGCAGAATCCTCCTCCTCCACAAACCGAGCGGCCCCTCCCCAGGGCCTTTCCTGTGCCAACCTGATGTCCCCTTCCTCAGGAAGGTGGGTGCTCAAGGCCTGGGCAGCGTGCCTTGTAAGGGAAAACGCCCTGTGACCACAGGCAGCCACCCTTCCGGGAAACGAGGAACAAATCACATCTCCGGCCTCCCCCTGCGCTCAGGGCGTCCAGCCCCTCTCAGCAGCGCTCCCTGCCCAGTGTGTAAACTTTGTGCCTTTGACTATCTCCTAGTTCTGAAGATACTTTATGCAAAGAGTTCTTGGGCCCCTGAGGCCAAGGATCGGGGTGCTGATCCCCTGGCTTCTGGGACCCTGCCCTCTCCTTGCTCAGCATCCCTCCAGTTCAGGCTGGGAGGACAGAAGCAGGAGTGGCAGCTGTACCTCTCCCAGGCATATGCCACCTTCACCGATTGCCTCAGAGCTCCCCTCCCGGCCAGGGGGGAGATGGACCCCTCCTTTGCTCAGTGCCTCCTGGCCGGGGCCTTTGTCCCAGGGGTTTGTATATACATATTGTTCCCCCCACCCCTTCCATGTTGCATGCATGTTATATTCTACAGCCAAAGTGTAGCCCTTCCGCGCCCTCCATGCTGCCTCCCTGTGCGAGGGCGGTGGGGTGATGACCGAATTTGGGCTCCCCTGAACTGACAGCTCTCCGAGGTAGATCTTGTGGAGGCAGGAACGGGCATTGAGACTCAGAAGCAGTAGACAATCCCCAAATACCATCTGTAGATTTGGATCTGCATTTATTTTTTATGCACATATTTTAGGCTGTAGATTTCCTTTCCTATTTTGTTTTCTATGGCTTATTCTTGAGCACAAAAGGATGGTAATCGATTACATTTATACATCACTGTTGGCATTTTCCTCACCCCAGCCTGCGGCCCACTTGAGGTGGGCAGCATTGTCTTTTCAAGGAGACCCAGGTCGGAAGTCAGTTGTGAGCTGGAATAAGAAACACTTGGGCCTCTTACCGGGAGGCTGCGGGAAGTGCAGCGGAATGAGCCTGGTTCACGGGGTGGGCGTGGACCTAAAACCTGCAGATATTGAAGACCTCGGGCGACTCTCGGGGAGTCTGGGAAGCCCACGACGCCTTAGAAGCCTTCCAGCCCCGTCCCTAACCCTCGCCTCCTTTTTGTGGTTAGATGTTTTCACCGGCCTCACTGATACCAAAGGGAAAGAATCTTCATTAAAGTCCGTATTTCTTCTACCTCGGCCTCAGTCACTGTCGCTACCTCCGTGTCGGGGAGTTGGGGCGGCGGCGACACCCGTCCTGCCTCGCTCGAGCTGGCGATCGCCCGCGAGCGCTGGGGTGCCCCGGGGGGTGCGCTGGGCGGCACCTTTGGGACCACTGGCCGGGGTGACGTTCGAGTTGGCATGGGAACCGCGGGCCCTGGGAGGCGCCCTTCGGCGGCGGCCCTCCCGCCTGCCCCGGGAGCCGGCCAGTGCGGCTGCCTCGCAGTCCACGACCCCCGCCCGAGCCGAGCGGTGGTGAAGCGCTCCCCTCTTCCCTCCCCGCGGGGCGCTGGGCGGGCCTATCCCAGGCCCCGCCTCCCAGGCCCCGCCTCCCCAGCCCGCTCATAGGAGGAGGCCGGACCTACTTCCGGTTCCGGTGGCTGCGGCCGCGGGCGGGCTGTGAGGCCGGGAGGAACGCGCAGCGGCGCTCCTGCTCGGCGCCTGCCCCTCGCTGCCCTCTGGGCGGCCACAGCGCGGGGGCCTGGCTGCCCCCCGACACCCCTTCCGGGCGATGGTGCGACCCGAGGGCGCGTCCGCCTCCCGCCGCCGCTGACCCGGGCCCCCCACTCCATGGCCGCCTCGGCGCCGCCCCCACCGGACAAGCTGGAGGGAGGCGGTGGTCCCGCGCCGCCGCCCGCGCCGCCCAGCACTGGGAGGAAGCAGGGCAAGGCCGGTGAGCGCGCGGCAGCGGGCCGGGGCTGCAGGAGCCGAGGGCGTGGGGCGCTCGGAGAAAGGCTGGGCGGTGGGCAGACGGGGGTCCGTAGGCCGAGGGGCCTGAAGGAGATGGGGGCCGGGGGTGAAGCCCTCCAGGGGTGGGGGGCAGGTGTCAGAGGTTGAGGATCCGAGGGTTGGGAATTCAGGAGCCGCTTGGAAAGCTGAGGCTACCCAGAGAGGGGCTGTCTCTCCCGGAAAGGAAGCAGCAGTGGGGAGGGTGATGCAGTTTGCTTTTCCCCTTAACGCCTTTGTTAGTGTTTACTGGATAAGTAAACAAGCTAGCGTAGGTTGAAGTTGGGAGCGTTCCTGCGAGCACGGCTGGGGGACCTCGGGGAAACCTGTTTGTGTTTGCCTTTTGCTGCTCTCCCAGGTTTGCAAATGAAGAGCCCGGAAAAGAAGCGAAGGAAGTCCAACACTCAGGTGAGCGGCGGCAGATGGGCGGGAGAATGCCCAGCAGCCCCTCCCTGCGCTCTGTGGCTCCAGTGTCTGCTGTGTCTTGGTCAGGTCCAGGGAGAAGGGAAAGTTCTCTGGCTCTGTTTCTGGTCCTGCCCCTTCAGCTTCATAATACATTGGCCCGGGGAGGGGGATGGGATGATTTGCCCAAAGACCCTGTCAACCAGGATGAGAATCTTCTCCCATTCTTCCTGTCCTGGTTCCCTCATGGTAACGCCTTCCACTTACAGCAAGCGCCGGGACTGGGGGATAGCGCTTCACCAGTTCTGGGAGGTGGGACGTTGTCTGTTTTACACAAGAGGAACGTGAGGCTTAAAAAGTTAAATCGTTGCTCCAGGGTCTTGAGGTTATTCAGTGTTAGAGCTGGGATTCCAGCCTAGTTCTGCCTGTTTTCAAAGTGCAGTGAATACCGTGGGCTGCGCCTTCTGCTCTGTTGTATCCTAAGGTCCATCTTGATTTTGACGGTCTGAGCTGGCTGGAACCAGCCTCCAAAACGAGCAGCGTGTTTCTGGTGTCCTGGGCTAGCTCTGCAGTCCCCCCTCCGTGACCCTCTTTCCCTCGTCTGCTCCACCAGGGCCCTGCGTACTCGCATCTGACGGAGTTTGCGCCACCCCCGACTCCTATGGTGGATCACCTGGTTGCGTCCAACCCTTTTGAGGATGACTTCGGAGCCCCTAAGGTGGGGGGCGCGGCCCCTCCGTTCCTCGGCAGCCCTGTCCCCTTTGGAGGCTTCCGTGTGCAAGGGGGCATGGCAGGCCAGGTGCCCCCGGGCTATGGCGCCGGAGGTGGAGGGGGGCCCCAGCCTCTTCGTCGACAGCACCCCCCTTTCCCTCCCAACCCTATGGGCCCTGCTTTCAACATGCCCCCCCAGGGCCCTGGCTACCCGCCCCCAGGCAACATGAACTTTTCCAGCCAACCCTTCAGCCAGCCGCTGGGTCAGAACTTTAGCCCTCCGGGCGGGCAGATGATGCCAGGCCCGGTGGGGGGGTTCGGCCCCATGATCTCACCCACCATGGGACAGCCTTCCAGAGGGGAGCTGGGCCCTCCTCTCTCCCAGCGCTTTGCCCAGCCGGGGGCGCCATTCGGCCCCTCTCCTCTTCAGAGACCTGGTCCGGGGCTCCCCAGCCTGCCCCCCAACACAAGTCCCTTCCCCGGCCCTGACCCCGGCTTTCCTGGGCCTGGGGTGGAGGATGGGGGCAAGCCCCTGAACCCGCCCGCTCCCACGGCTTTCCCCCAGGAGCCCCACTCGGGCTCCCCAGCTGCTGCCGTTAACGGGAGTCAGCCCAGCTTCCCCCCAAACAGCAGTGGGCGGGGCGGGGGCACTCCAGATGCCAACAGCCTGGCACCCCCTGGCAAGGCAGGTGGGGGCTCGGGGCCCCAGCCTCCCCCAGGCCTGGTGTACCCGTGCGGCGCGTGCCGGAGTGAGGTGAACGACGACCAGGACGCCATTCTGTGCGAGGCCTCCTGCCAGAAGTGGTTCCACCGCGAGTGCACGGGCATGACTGAGAGCGCCTACGGGCTGCTGACCACCGAGGCCTCTGCCGTCTGGGCCTGTGATCTCTGCCTCAAGACCAAGGAGATCCAGTCTGTTTACATCCGCGAGGGCATGGGACAGCTGGTGGCTGCCAACGACGGGTGATGCTGGCGCGGCGACCCGGAGAAGCGCGTCTGTTCCTCCCTGTTCCTCCAGGGGGCTGTTCCCGTGCGGGGCTCTTGGTCCTTGTTCCCACTGGCTTTCCATTCCTCGGAGAAGAAACGCAGTGTCTCCTGAGGGCGGCAGAGGACCTGAGGTGGACATGGATAGGCAAGAGCCTGGATCACTCACTGTTCTGGAAACTCTCCCGCCGAGATACAGAGATCCAGGAAACAAAAGGCCTGCCGCAGGAGCCATTGTCTGGCGGATGTTTCTGGAGGCCTGGGGGCATGGCTGCGAGAGAAGAGCCTGGAGGAAGATCCGGAAGGCAGGGAAGGCAGATCTGCAGATGGCGGGTGCGCCCAACACCTGTGCCTCACGCGCCCATCCAGCCCCGCAGCTGCAGCCTTAGCTTTTGGAGTTAGGTGTCAAAGGTTTCTCGCCGGAGGAGTTTGGGTCGCTCCCATCCCTGCAGTAGCCCTTCCGTGGGCTCTGGGAGAGAGCTGGAGGAATAAAGAGGGGTTTTCCTCTTTTCCCACTCTCCCCTGCCTCCTCCAAAACCTGCTAACTCTTCCCCCTTCAAAGAACCAAATAGCTTGAAGAAACAGGAGAGTTCTTGGCCATGGCAGTTTCTTGGTGATTTGGGGCTTCGAGACGGCAGACGAGAGATGCTGTCGGAACAGTTCTCCCTGGTACCAAAGTTACTGGTCCTTTCCCAGCTTCTCGTGCTTTTTCTTCTCCTAATGACCATATTTTTTTGCCAAAAATTGGGAGATGTGGTCTGACCAGAATCTGAGGTTTGGACGGTCCTGGAAGCCTGGACTCGGTGTGGTACCACCTTCCTCCACCTGCCCATCCGGTGCACCTTGTTAGCGTTGGTCTTCAACTTGTGGTGCCCTATTCCCCCGCCTCCCTGGCTCGGCTGAAGGAAAGCTTGAAAGGCCACCGAGCCCTTATACCTCATTCCTTCTGATAAAGGGATCCCTGGCGCAGCCTGTGGCGGGGGAGGCAGCAGGACCCTCATCGCCGAGGGACTTAAATGCAGTTCAGAGCCTGGGTGTTCCTTCTTGTTCCCCTGCCATCCGTGTATCACTGGGGCCTGGTGTTCTAGCAGTTGTCATTCCTCTCAGCCACGGTTTTGCACTGGGCTTTATTTTTATTTTTTATTTTTAAAGCACTGCCTGCCAGAGCTGGGCCTGGGGCCTGGTCAGGAGCCCCTCACAGCTGCTCTCTCTGGCAGCGCATGCACACATGACCCAGTGGGTGGGGAAGGCGGGCCTGAGGAGCTAGTTGAGCCCTGAACCCCCAGCATGTGCAGAGAAGACAGGTTCACCACAGAACTCACTTGCCCGCCCACGTGGAGTCAGCGGCCTCTGTGCCCGCCTTTCAGGGCGCCCTGACCCTGAAGCAGCAGCGGGCAGCCCCCGCCCCTCAGCTTTGAGTGTGTGTGGTTCTGTTTGCCCCCTTTTTATCTTGCTATTTTTGTGCTGCCTCCCCCATCTTGGCATTTTGTAAAGTGGCTCCTGGGGGAATATCTGCTTAGTCCCTCATTCCATTGTTTTGGAAGAAAGGAGGGGCGGTGACAATGTGATGGGGGGAGGGGTCTTTTGTACGGTTGGATTAATAAAATGGTTGGATAATAAAATGACGTGAAAATCCAGACAAGGACTCCTTGCTGTTTATGTGCACAAAGGTTGGAAAGAGCTATAGTCATCACTGGGAAGGGTGCTTGGGTGGGGGGGGCGGGGGAAGGAATGTAAGCCTTGAGGGGCCCAGGTGGTGGGAATGGCAGAAAAAATCTGGTCTTGGGGAACAACCCTGGTTCAGCTGCTGGTTCAGCCTGAGCGGAGAGAATCCTGTGTGCTCCACCCTGCCGCTGTGTCCCGCTAAGAGAAAGTTTCTTTTCTGAGCACATTCCTGGGCCGGGCCTCGAGCCAAGAGAGAGCTCCGGCTCCTAGGCCTCAGGGAAACCAGCGCCTTTAGCGCGTCTGGGTTTGGCGCCCACCCTCCATCCCCCAGTGCTTGGGTGAGGGGTCAGTGCAGCATCCAGGTGGGGAGAGGGGCTGCACCTGGCCCAGCAGGCACTTTTGGGCGCTTTTCACAGCCCTCCCCTGTCAGAGCGGCAGTGGTTTCCTTAACCCGCACTGGGGCCCAGGAGAGAGAGGGTGGCGGCAGGGCTATTTCCAACCCGCGATCTGCCCCTCCCCTCCCTCCCCTCCCCCGTCCTGCAGCTGCCCGTGTCCGTCCGGGCCACGCTGGTCTCTGCCCCCGTCGCCTCTGGAGAGGCACCGTCTGCCTTTCGGTTTGGGGTCTTCCTCCTAATCACTAGGCGCCGGGAAAGGAGGGGAAGTTGCTCCAAATTCAGTTGGTTGGGATTCCAGCCTCCCATCGGGAGGTCAGCCCCGCTTTCTGGACCACACAGGCCCCTTGTTGTCCCCCGCCTCCCGGCTCTCACCTCCGGCTCTTATTGGCCGAAAGTTTCCGCCCCCTCAGGGAAACTGGCTCCCCATTGGCCAGCGCCTGGTCACGTGACTCCCCTCTGGGTCTGGGAACCTGGCAAGGCCGCAACAAGTTCAGCTGAAGGCTGGAGGGGAAGCCGGACCAGGTAATGCCCGGCAGGGAAGGGGCCCCGGACCGGCTATGGGGCGGAGGGTAGCGGAGAGGAAGGGCGGAACCCCAACGGGTGGGCTCCCCCGAGCCTCACAGAGCTGCTTGTCACTGTGAGAAGGAAGACCACGGAGACCAAAACAGGAACTTGCTCTGGCTCCCCCAAGCAAATACTTGTGGCCCTGGGTCCTTGGCTAGAGGTTTGGGGGAACAACTCTTAGAGGGGTTGGAATGAGCTAGACCAGACTTCCCAGCTTTGTACGGAGTGGGAGAGCTCCCCCTTTAGCTGTCTTTTAGGAACAGCAGAGGTCTCTGTCCATCCCTAAAGGACGATGTTGTTGACTCCTGCCTGAATGAAAAGGGAGGAGGAAGGGGGGTGGGGGTGATGGTGAGAGGAGATCTGAAAACACCGAGGGGGAGGGTGGAATTAGACCGCAGAAGGAACCTCCTAATAAGGCAGTGAGATGCTGCTGGCCTGGGAGGACGGGGGAATCTTTTGGAATCTTGGGTGAACCCAACCGAGAGAGAGACCGGGGCTCAGAACCCCGAGTGCAGGGGTCCCAGAAAGGTCTCCTGTGGGAGTCTCAGAAGTGTTGGTCTTGTTGACCCAAATACCAGTTGCTGGTTTCCATGAGACAGTGGGTCTGACATCACCCTGGTTGCCATGGTGCTTGGTTCTGGAGGACCGGAGCAGGCTGTACACCAGCCAGGGATAAACAGGGACTTCAGCCCAAGCTGCTGCCACTTCCTTCCTGCCACCACCTGTTAGTAGTCTCACACAGCAAGGGGGGCTGGGGAGCGATGACACAGCGGAGGAGGGGCCTGAGGGCAGAAGGCTGCTCAGCAGGGGCTCTGGATGCCTGTGGAAGCTGGTCGGGAGTGACTTGGTATCGATGCAGCCATTCTGGCTCCCGGCGGGACGGTTTGTGTGTCTGGGAGGCATCGGCCCTGGGGAAGACATCTGTCCTGGACTTGGTTCTGGAAGGGCCACGAGAGGTTGTAGGGCGCTGTGCCCCTTACACCTGCTCAGATGGCAGGGGTGGTTTCCCGAGGTAGGACTGCCATCCACCTTCCCCAGCCTCCCTTTCCCCCAGCGTCCCTTACAGAGTCCTTTCCCACTTGCCACCCGTCTAGCCCCGCAGGAAGGCGCTGTTTATCCTCCTCTGAAGGGTCACAGGTCAAGACTGGGGGGCGGTCAGCCGTTCTCTTCCCTCGCCTTTATGCCAAGTTCCAGTGGCAGCTGCCCAGCCTGCGGGGCTTTGGATGAAGGGACCGGTCCCTCTCTTGTCGCCCTGCTCTGCTTTAGGCTCTGGAAGCTGGGGGACTTCCTGCGCCCACCCTGCTAAATCAGAGAGATCCAGGGGGAGGCCCACAGCCCTGGCTTCGGCAAACTGTAAAGTCTTTATCCCTGAGAGTGGCCAGGAAGCCTTTTCCTCAGTCCCCTTCCGGTTCCCTAAGATGAAGCTGGAGGTTACTAATAAGGGAACAGGATTTAGAACGGAGAGTGAGGGGCAGAGGGTGGAGTGGGAACCTGGTGGAAGGGGGAAGAAATGAGGAACCTTTGTAATAATGTGAACAATAAAGATTGATTTAAAAAAAAATAGAACGGAGAGTGAGGATGACCGAATACTTACTAAAGGTACATTCAGGTGGATGTAAGCTATGCCAGTTAGTCTCCACCCCGCCTGCAGGTGAGAATCATCCGGGAGATTTAAAAAAGGGTCCATGTGGCTCAAGTGGCGGAGCATCACTCCATGCACCGAGAGATTCCCTGTCAGGGTGCATGCCGGGGTGCCAGCTTGATCCCGCAGTGGGTGTGCAGGAGGCCGCCGATTGATGCTTCTCATTGTTTCTCTCTCTCTGCCATCAACAAAGAAAAAAATGTATATATATAAAATTCCTGAACCTGATCAGTAGATAATATTATCTATTGAATCAGATCAAAATCTTAGGTGATTCCAGTGTGCAGCCAGTGTTTTTAAAATTTATTTAAGAGAGAGACAGAGAAACTTGGTTTGTTGTTCCATGCATTTATATATTCATTGCTTGCTTTCTGTATGTGCCCTGACTGGGGATGGGACCCACAACCTTGGTGTATCAGGATGATGCTCTAACCAATCAAACTCCCCGGCCAGGGGTTCCCAACACTGGCGTGTGGTGGGTGGGTGGGTGGGTGATTTCGGGCTGCAGGAGGCTCTGGAGCTTTCTCTTTCTACCCTGGGAGAAAAGGTAATGGCTGTGGGAGAGTCTGTCGGGGTGAAGGGAGGGCGGCCTGTTTTCCTCACTCTCCTGAGCTGCTCGTCTTTGCAAGTCAGATCGGTCACTTTCTGGCCTTCATCTGCCGTGACGGCAGCAGGAGCGAGTTGGCTGGATTATTCCCCAAAGTCTTTCCAGGCCTCTGCCTCACTGACCTCTCAAGGTCAGTTCAGTTTCCCAAGACCCTGCTGGTGCCTGGGAGAGGCGGGCTTCTCCGTGGCTGTCCCTCCTCAGGTTCTGATTTGCAAGGCAAATGCCGTCCAGAAGAGCTTGGAACCAGGCTGGTTCTGGAAGCTGCTGCCCAGTCGTTAAGCCTCAGAGCCCAGCCTGCTGCTCCCTCCATCCCGCCTCTCCTGAAGGGAGCAGGGTTGCTGAAGCTCTTCTCTGCAGGTGCCGGCCTCAGGGACCCCAGCGACCATGGCCTCCTGCCCAGATTCGGACAATAGCTGGGTGCTGGCCGGCTCAGAGGTAGGAAGAGCAGCCTGGGAACCACATTGGGGGGGAGGGGAGGCTCCTGCAGGATCAGGCTGCTTTCTGGGTCTCTTCCTTCCTTGTCCTGATGGTCACCTGCATCACCTCCTGCCGCCGGGAGAGGAACTGGTGGCCGGGGGAGGAAACCGGGCCCAGGGGCCAGGTGCTGGGACTGGGCCATGGCCGGGAAGAGGGGTGGCGTGGGATGAGCTGTGCGAAGTCAGGAAGAGTGCTGGTGGGGAGACCTGCGTGAGCCATTCCGGGGGAGACTATGAGGAGGCCCCGTGGATAAGGTTGCGACGTGGGCCAGTGTTGGAAGGAGATTAGGGGCGGAGCTGGGATCCTCTGGAAGGGAACCTGTGAAGGGCCTGGCTCGGGCATTCAGGCCTGGTTCTTAGGGGAAATCACCGAAGGGCTCTGAGTCCGAAGGGATCAGGACCCGCGCGGGTGCAGAGGGTGAAGCCAGCGTGTGGCTGGCAGCAATAGCGGGGAGTGTGTGTAAGAGTCTGTAGTCCAGGAAGTTGGTGGGGCAGGGACCCAGGGGGCTCCTGTGCTCCTCAAGCCACTGAGACGGACGAAGGGTCCCGGGGGTCGGAGGCCTGAGTGGCCGGAGGAAGTGTGTCAAGGGATCCGAACCCCAGGGGCTTGGTGCGTTAGAAGCGCCAGGAGGAGAGAGGGCGAGGAGTCCCTGGGGGAGTCAGCGGGGTGGGGAGGGGGGTGAGGCAGCCGCGCTCGGTAGCGCTGGAGCAGGACACAGGGCCAAGCTCGCCAGTGGAGAGGGCGGACACTCTGCTGTCACTCGGCCAGACCCCTGGTGCCTTGCTAACCTCTGGGCGTTTGACCGTAAAAGGGGGTTGTGACTCTTGCCTTGCAGAGGTGGCCACGAGAAGGAAGTGATTGGAAAACTGCAAAGACGCATACTAAGGCTAGGCATGGTGGTGGGAGCCAGGATGGGGGACGCGGGCGATGGGCCCGCTGAGGAGGAGCGTGCAGAGGAGAGGCTGGCAGCTCCGAGGGGGACAGGCAGGCCAGGGTGGGGTGGATGGGCTTCTGCGAGCAGCTGAAGGGTGTGTGGGTGAGGGACCAAGGCCAGCGAAGCGAAGAAGATGGTGAAGGGCAGCCTGTTGGGTGGGCAGCTGCAGGGAAGCCGTGGGGCCATGGCGGTGACCCTTAGGCGCCCAGGGGCTTGGTTCTCTTGCTTCTTCCTCTTCCCACCTGCCAACCAAGACCTGGTCCTCTTGGTGGGGAGGGAGGTGCTGGTGCCCGGCTCTGTGTAGCCGGCTCCGGTGGGGGCAGTTTGCACCGTGCCCAGTGCTTGGGTCCAGGGTGCTTCTTCGTGGAATAGACACTGAGCCTCTGACCGTTCCTGCGGTGAAGGAAGGGCCACACACACCACGTTGAGCTGTGATGCTGCAGCGCCAGCTGGCCCCTCCCTTCTCATCCCTTCCCCTCCCTTCCCTTCCCCTGTCCTCCTTTCCTCTTCCCTGCCCTCCCTTCCCCTCCACTCCTCTGTCCTCCCCTCCCTCCCCCTCCCTCAGACCAGTTTGTCGCTCAGTGTCTTCCATTCCTGTGGGTGGGTGCCTGCGCAGTGCAGCTGGTCCCAGGGCCCCCGGCGAAGGCCCCGTGCTCCCTCCTCTGCAGCACCTCCTGCTTTTGCTCCTTCCCCCAGAGCCTGCCTGTGGAGACCCTGGGCCCAGGGTCCACGATGGCCCCAGACCCACAGAGCGCTCCCCCGGCCCCTCGGAACCCCCCCAAGGCAGATGGTGAGGAGCCAGCTGGGACTGCGGATGGAGAAGGTACAGGGGCCTGGCTGAGGGTGGGGTGCAGCCCTCTCTCCTCCATCTTCCAGGGTTCCCGTTTCACCGGGGAAAGGGAGACCGGTTAGTCTTAGTTCCCACGTTAGCCTCAGTAGAAGATACGCTTCCCCCCTCCACCCTGGCTCTTCCCGCCTCTCCCAGCCCGGCTGGGGCCTGCAGGGGCCCGGGGCTGCCGAGGAGGCGTGGCTGAGAGGCTACAGGGCCTTCCTTCCACGGCAGAGACCCTCCCCGAGCAGGACAGCTCCCAGCCCGGCGCCACGCCGCCAGAGGAAGCAGAGGCCCAGGTGAGGACCTCCACGGGGATGGGGTGCTGCGGGGAGAAGGAAGTGGGAAGGGCCGGGAACGCTCACGGCTGTGTCTCCATCAGGACGGCCCGGAAGGCGATGGTGATGTCACGGAGCTCCCTGGCTCCGGAGACACGGTGGCCCTGGGAGACGTGGAGGAGACCCCCGAGGTGGCAGACCTGGGACCCGACACCCGGGACCCGGAGGACCAGAGCTTCCCGCAGAGCCCGCCCTCACCTCCCGGTGCAGGTGGGGTCCCTTGGGCACGGAGGCCTGGCTGTGGGGGTAGCCATCACTCCGGAGCATCGCTCTGGCCCAGGCCGGGGACTAGCTTAGCGCCTCCTTAAATTCTATCAGTGAGTCCTCAGCACCAGCCCGAGGCTCAGAGAGGCTAAGTGACTTGGCCAAGGTCCCACAGCTGATAAGTGGCCGGGCTGAGATCTGGTTGACTCCTTCCGCTCTGCCATTGGGCCTCCTCTTTTCTTGCCTCTGGAGATTCTACTCATGCCCTGCGTCCCTTCCAGGAGCTGGCTCTTTGCTTGTGGGTGGCTCATGGCCTGGGTAAGAGGCAGACGAGACGGAGCCCAGGTGAAGGGCAGACCGGTGAGGGGCGCAGAAGGAGCTGTTACTCAGTTGCTGTCACAGGAGGAGGAAGCTGGTTCAGTCGGGACAGGCTGAGGGGAAAGAGAAGCAGGCATCCCTGGGGAAAGGATGACGTAGGACCTGAGTGGAGCCTGGGACATAAATTTGGCTTTTGGTAGGTGGGGTAGGAGGAGGAGAACATTCCAGGCCAAGGCGGCAGCCTCAGCAGAGGGCTGGGGGCCACCCGTCCTGTACTGAGGAGGCTGCCCCGGGGTGTGAGTCCATCTCTGTGAAGGTGACAGGGTGGAGGTAGAGGCCAGGGCCTCGGCCATTTAGGAGGTTCCTGGACCAAGGCAGATGCAGGCGTGTGATGTGAAGGTGTAGACGTGTCGAACTGTCTGGGTGGGAGGCGAAGGTGGGCAGGCAGACATACCCGGAGCTCCAGGGAGGCCTGGCGGGCGCTACAGGTTTATCTCTGGGGGGCCGTCAGCGTGTGGGGGAGACCCCGGGAGACTGTGTGCACAGCGCAGAGAGCCGAGAGCAGAGGGGGCGTCAGGAGAGCCGGGGGGGACCGAGCCGACGTGGGCCGTTCGGACTGGCCTGGGCGGGTGGGAATGGCTGTGGGCTGAGCTGAGGCCCGTGGGGAGGACAGTGCTTTCAGGATGAAGCTGCTCCTGCAGTTGGCAGACCGAAGGCCTGGTCTCCCACCTCCTGGCCGGGCAGGGCTGCCCTCCATGCCAGGCAGACACGGGCAGGGTCTCCCCGTGCCCCCCTTCACGTCCTTCTCCTTGTGTCCCGTCCCTCCCGTCCCTCCCTCCCTGTCCTCCTCCTCCCTCCAGCGTGGACCGTGGAGGCGGCGCGCTGCACCAGCAGCGAGGAGGACACGGACGCCGACTTGGAGGGCCTGCGGCGGCGCCGGCACGGGCGGGAGCCCGGCGCCCCTCCGCCCGAGGGGCCCCTGTGTGCGGAGGCCGCGGCCGGCGGCCCGGGTGTAAGCGGGGAGCCGGGCATCTCCCTCAACATGTGCCTCCTCGGGGCCCTGGTCCTGCTGGGCCTGGGCATCCTCCTCTTCTCAGGTGAGGATGCCCCCCCCCCCGCGGCCCTGGGGCCTCTGCCCTGGCCCCTGCTGTCCCCCTGCCCTTCCCCTCCGCCCCCTCCTCCGAGGCCTCACCAGCTGCTCTGTCTCCCTGCCCAGGTGGCCTCTCGGAGTCTGAGAACGGTGAGTGGGGAGGGCCTGGGTGGCTCCGCCTGTCCCCTCCCAGCCCCAAGGGAGGCCCGTGGGCTGGCTCTTTGGGTCAGAAGTAGGGATGCTGGGGGCTGGACATTATGCCTCTTTATGCCTCGTCAGCTGTTGGGAGTAAGCCATGGCCCTTGACCTGCCTGGCCCGCAGGCATGGGAGGGTCCAGGGCAGGAGGTGGCCGTGTGTGGGAGGGTGCTCTCTTGCCCTGGGGCCAGCCTCAGGACTTGCTGTGCCTCAGGGGCCCTGGAGGAGGTGGAAATGCAGGTCTTTCCAGATGCTGAGGTGGACCACAGGATGGCGGATGCTGCGGGGGACGGGCAGGTACGTGACTGTCCGTGGCGTGCGGGCCTGTGGGGGCGTTCCGGGCTGTGGGGCAGGGCGGCTCACCGGCTCCTCGTCCCTCAGGACGGGCGAAGGCAGCAGCCGCAGGCCTCAGCGCCCCCTGACGGTGCCCCCAGCCTGCAGAACATGGGCCTCCTGCTGGATAAGCTGGCCAAGGAGAACCAGGACGTCCGGCTGCTGCAGGCCCAGCTGCAGGTGGGCACAGGCAGGAAGGGGTGGGCGAGGCCAGCCCCCCTCCTAGGCCCGGTGTCTGTCCTAGTGTCCTCCCCACAATGAAATGGACCAGCAGGCCACCTGCCTGGCTCTCCCAGGTCCCTCCTGCTCACGGTCAGGCCAGGGCTGGCCTCCCCGTTCCTGGTGACCCTCCGCCTCCGATGAATGCTATGCTCTGCCTGGCGGTGGTGGGGAGGAGGATAAGAACAGGCCACGGGCAGTGAAGGCCACATATGGGCTCTCCTGAGTCTGGGAGCAGTGTGTGCTGCTAGAAGGATGCAGACGCTCAGGCCTGTGTGGGGATTTGGGGACTCCAAGGTCTAGGGCAGGAGGCGAGTGGGGAGGAAGACTAGGACCGAAACCTCCAAGTGTCCCAGGCCATACCACACTGGAATAGGGTTTGGGTGGGAGCCTCTAGGCCCATCCTGAGAAGACTCTCGATGGCGCGCTCTCTGCCCACTCCAGGCCCAGAAGGAAGAGCTCCAGAGCCTGATGCAGCAGCCCAACGTGCTGGAAGCGGAGAACGCCCAGCTCCGGGGGGCCCTGCAGCACGGCGAGGCCTCCCAGAGGGCCCTGGAGTCCGAGCTGCAGCAGCTGCGGGCCCGCCTGCAGGGCCTGGAGGCCGCCTGCCTCCGGGGAGAGGACGGGGCGTGCCTCAGCCAGGGCCGAGGCCCGCAGGGCAGCCGGGCCCCCAAGGAGCCGGGCCCTCCGGGGCAGGAGCCGGGCCCTGGCTTCCTGGAGCAGAAGGAGCGGCTGGAGGCCGAGGCCCAGGCGCTGAGGCGGGAGCTGGAGAGGCAGCAGCGGATCCTGGGGTCGGTGCAGCGGGACCTGGAGCAGAGCCTGAGGGAGGCAGGCCGCGGGGACCCGGCTCACGCCGGCCTCGCCGAGCTGGGCCACCGGCTGGCCCAGAAGCTGCAGGGCCTGGGGGCCTGGGGCCAGCACCCGGGGGTCCCTGGCAATGCCTCCTCAGAAGCTGGGAGCCAGGAGTCCCCCTTCCAGAGTCCCAGAGAGCGGGGTGGGAAGGAGAGGTGGCGGGGCGGGCCCGGGGACCGGCAGGCTGAGCCCTGGAAGCGCAGGATGGAGGAGTCCGGCCGGGAGCGGAGGGAGAGCTGGCGGGGCAAGGAGGACAGGGGGGGCAAGGAGGACAGGGGGGGCAGGCCAAGGGCGGAGGAGCAGGGCCGGGACAGGAAGCGGCAGGGCCCCAAGGAGCCCCCCAGGAAACACGGAGAAAAACAGAAGCACCCTCAGGGGAAGGAGGGGGCTGAAGGCCGGCAGGGCCCTCCGCCGGCCTGGGCAGAGCTGTCCAGGCACAAGTACCGGGCACCGCAGGGCTGCACGGGCGTGCGGGAGTGCGCCCGGCAGGAGGGCCTGGCCCTCGGCGGCGCGGAGCTGGCCCCGGTGCGGCGGCAGGAGCTGGCCTCCCTGCTCAGGACCTACCTGGCGCGGCTGCCCTGGGCCGGGCCGCTGGCTGAGCAGCTGCCCCTCTCGCCCGCGTACTTCGGGGAGGACGGCGTCTTCCGCCACGACCGCCTGCGCTTCCGCGACTTTGTGGACGCCCTGGAGGACAGCCTGGAGGAGGCGGCCGAGAGGCAGACCGGCGACGACGACGAGGTGGACGACTTCGAGGACTTCATCCTCGGCCACTTCTTTGGGGACAAGGCCCTGAGGAAGAGGTGGGCGGCTGGGGGTGTGGGCGGGACAGCGGAGAAGGGGCGAGGGGGTACGTGTGCGAGGGAGTGAGGGTCCCGAGTCCAGGGCATTCCAGTTTGAGTCCTCATCTCCCCTTGTAGTCACCCACCTCCCCCCAGCTTCTTTAAAAAAAAAAAAAAAAAAATATATATATATATATATATATATATATATTATTGATTTTTTTACAGAGAGGAAGAGAGAGGGATAGAGAGTTAGAAACATCGATGAGAGAGAATCATTGACCAGCTCCCTCCTGCACACCCCCTACTGGGGATGTGCCTGCAAGCAAGGCACATGCCCTTGACCGGAATCGAACCCAGGACCTTTCAGTCCGCAGGCCGACGCTCTATCCACTGAGCCAAACCGGTCTCAGCAAGGCTTTCGGATACTTTCCCATCTTGGTGGGCAGGACGCCCACGCACCAGAGGGATTCCCCGTTGGGCTGGGGATCCCCTTCCCCATGGTTCTGTCCCACCGACTGGCCTGGCCCAGGGGGTGAGGGAGACAGCTCCCGCCTTCCCGCCTCCCCAGCCAGGGCCTTCGTCCTAGAGGCCAGGTCTGGCCCCCGTATGGCTGGAGGTGGCTGCCTGTGTCGGCTGCTGTAGGCGGAAGGGGGTCCCCCTTCTCCTCTGGGGATCCCTTCTCATCACATGGCCTTGTCCTCTAACGGCCTCTTCCTGCCCTGCCCCCTCTCCCCTCAGGTCAGGGAAGAAAGACAAGCACGTCCCGAGCCCCAGGCCCATGGGGCCCAGGGAGGAGCCGAGCCACCACCGCAGAGGCTGAGGCTGCCCCTGGCGATGCCCGCCTGCCCGCCCGGGGACTGGAACCGCCGTACCTGGCTCCGAGGGGGTCCTAGGACGTCCTTCTGGAAGACAGACGTCACCCAGCCCTGCACTGATGCCACTTTTGCTAGGAGAAGGCCTTGGCTGGGCTGCCTCGCTATCTATGCAAACGTATACAAATGCTCAGGGCCCGGCCAGGACCCCTGGCAGCCTGGTTGTGTCCGCCAATGTGAAAGGGGGTGGGGGGAGAGGCCTGGTTTGGGTTAGGTGGGGCGGGGTGGGGGGGATGGCATTGATTTGGAAGCCAAAGAGCTTTCCTCCCCTCCGGAGCGGGCCTGGGTGCCGCCCTGACTGCACCCTGGGGCTGCAGGGCTGCCGGCTGGAGGCCGCCGGCAGGCTTTCCCCGGGTTTCAGTGGATTCGGAAGCAGCTCTCTCCAGAGGCGAGGCCCCCTTTCTGCCCAGCTCCCCACACGGCTCACTGCCCCCCTCCCTGGAACTGTAGACTCCGATCACAATAAAGAGCTGCCGGAGCCAGGCCTTGTGGCTCAGGGGTTGAGTGCTGACCTATGAACCAGGAAGTCATGGATCGATTCCCAGTTAGGGCACATGCCAGTGGGGGGGGCGTGGAGGAGGCAGCCCATCCATGATTCTCTCTCATCACTGATGTTTCTGTCTCTCTCCCTCTCCCTTCCTCTCTCTGAAATCAATAATAATAATTAAAAAAATGCTGTTGGAGCCCTGGCTGGTGTCGCTCAGTGGTTTGAGCATCGTCCAGTGCACCGAAAGGCTGCTGTTTCGATTCTGGGGTTCGATTCCAGTCAGGACACATGTCCGGGTTTCAGGCTCAATCTCTAGTGGGGGTGTCAGGAGGCAGCCAGTCATGTTTGCTTTCTCTCCCCCCCTCCCCCCCCTAAAAATAAAAAAACAAAACGAGCTGTTGGAGCCGAGCCTTTGGAGGGGCTGTCACTTGGGTGGTTTCTAAGTGCAGGGACACATGCTCCCATACACCCCCCCCCCCATCAACTTCAGCCCCCTGGGCTGGAGCGCCGCATGGGCTTACAGCCGCCTTGGCCGCACCTGGGAGATGGAAAGACGCGAGTGTGGGTTCGGATCCAGGCCGAGTGATCTCGGGCCAGTTAACACGTTAGGCGCCCAGCCTGTTTGCCTTCGGGACGGGAAATCCAGTGTCAGTCACCGGTGACGGATGGCACTTACCGTGTTCATCTCCTGTGTTTCTTATCCCCATTAACGGGGTTTGCGGGTCTGGAGGGGGGGGGGGTAAGAGTAAATAAAGCGACGGAAGCAAAATGTCCAGTGTTTGGAAGTTATTTCAAGCTAAAGGACACATAGGTATAACGCATGGACACGAGCTACAGTGTGGCGATGGCAGAGGGAAGGTGCAGGGGGAGAATGGAGACATCTATCATCTGTAACAGTGTCAATAGTAAAAAATAAAGTTTTCATTCCCCCTTTAAAAAACTCTTTTTACTGCTTTTTTTAGAGAGGAAGGGAGAGGGAGAAACCTTGATCGATGTGTCATCCATCCGCTGCCTCCTGCACGCCCCCTACTGGGGGTCAAGCATCCAATCTGGGCATGCGCCCTGACCGGGAGTCGAACCCGGGACCTCTTGGCCTACGGGGGACCACACTCAATCCACTGAGCCACGCCCGCTGGGCTCACTCCCTTTGGAGGGAGGAAAGGACCCCCCCCCCACCCTCCCCAAAGCAGGCTTCTGGGGTGGGGAGGTGAGGGGCCACTAGGTGGCGCTCTGGCTCTACGTTTGCTCCAGGCCTGGCTCCAGGACTGCCCGTGAGAGCACTCCAGCTCTCCCATCCCCCCCTCTGCCCCCGGCCTGCTCGCTGGCTTTCCCAAGAAGACCCGCTCCCTTAGGCTGTGTTTTAGGAAGTCCATCCTGGGGGGTTTCCTGATACCCGGCGAACCCCTGGGGGCAGGGTGAGGTGTGGCTTCAGGCCGGTGAGGACGTTAGCAAAGGGGAGAGGGCGGCGGGGCAGCCCGTGCTGATGTGCCTGTGGCATCCTGACCTGCCGCTCCCTGTGAGGGGCCTCGGGTTCGGGAGGGGCAGGGCCGGCTGAAGGTGGAGCAGGGACCCCACATTCCACACGTGCTCACAAAGCCTGCCGGGTGCTTGCTTTCTGCAGCAAGCCCGGGGGAGCCTCCCTCCCAGGCGGAGTCAGCGCCGGGCTGAGTCCCTGGAGGGGCGTCGGGAGGAGCAGGTACCGGGGGGTGGAGGGCCCGGTCTGGGGTTGGCATCCCAGCTCCGTGGACCGTTGTCCCTCCCTCGGAAGCCGTCCCGCCCTGTCCGCCCTGCTCAGCTGCACGCGGACTGTGAACTTGGGTTTCCAGGAGAGGGGTTCAGGCTGGAAGGCAGGTGGGACGCTGTGTCTTGGGGAGGATGGGGGGGGGGGCTGGTTAGGGGAGGGGCACACCTGGCCTCCCTGGGTTCCCAGAGGGCGTTGGTGTGGGGCGGCTCAGTTTCGTTTCTAGGGCCCGTTTCCTTCATTTGCATAATGGACTCTCGGGGAGGCTAGGAAGTTCCCACAAGCACCCCCTCTTCCGTGCCCACTCAGGAAGCAGCTAGGCTGCGATGGAGGTTTCTGAAAGGGCTGGACCAGAGAGAGAGAGAGAGCCAGGAAACCAGGGGTCTGATGGGGAGGGCCAGGCCCCGGGGTGGGGTGGGGTGTGGGGAAGGGCATTGGCTCGCTGATGGCCCCTCTCTCCGGCGCCCTGGCAGGTCATTGAGCCCCTCTCTCCATCACACGCACTCACTCGCCTCAGCACGGGCCCCAGGTTGCTCGTGATGACGGGCTCTGGGTAGGGATGCGCCAAGGGAGGCTGGCACTGGGCGGCGGGCTTCTGCCCCTCCTTCCCCCCCTCCCGGGCTTGGGGACAGCTTGGCTGGGCGGGAAGCAGGAGCCCGTGGGGAGGCCTGCTCTGGCCCTGCCAGCGTGAGCTCTGGGTGTGCTGAGCTCGTGGCTTTTTGCCCTTTCCTCTGGGAATCCCCCAGCGAAGAGCAAAGCCCCCGGCGCCTCTGGGGAGTCCCTGAGCAGGGGTGGCCCTCGGGTGCCTTCGCCTCTCAGATGGAAAAATTCTGCTTCCTTTGGTCAGTCCCAGCACTCATTCTCCCTGACATCGCCCACATTCCAACCTTCCCTCATTCTTCCGCTGTGGCCCCTTTTCTCAGCTCCTCTCGCCGCAGTCCTTCCCATTGCCCCCAGCTCTGCCTCCTCATCACCCCCCTCCAGCCCTCGGCTCCCCGTCTCCCCGTCTCCCAGTCCTCCAGGCCCCGCCTGTGCCCACTGCTTCCGTTCCCACCCACCGGGGGTGACAGGGTTGGGTGGTGGACCTTCAGGATCGGTCCACTCTGTAAGTTCCTTCAGGTCAGAGATGTGTGTTCCTTTTAGAACTGCTCCCCGGTGCCACTGCCCTCCCGTCCAGGGCCAGACGCCGGGTGCCACTGCCCTCCCGCCCAGGGCCAGACGCCGGGTGCCACTGCCCTCCCGCCCACGGCCAGACGCCGGGCTGTCTGGCTGTTGCAGGGGAACCTTCCAGGGCCACCCCGAGGCAAGGACATCTCCTCCCTCCGTCTTGTTCTGGGACAGATGTTCCTGATCCCTTCACACTCCGCCTGCTCACAGCAGGACTGGTGGGGGCGCTGCAGGGCGGCGGCGGCGGTGGCGGCGGCGGCGGCGGCTGGGGTGTTACTGTCCTAAATCCTGACAACTGGTCCCTCCCGCCATTTCCCTCGGCCTCGGGAGCCACAGAAGCCCCGTGTCACCGGTTCTGATGGCACTGTCTGCGCTCCCGATCCCTCCCCTGTGGGCGCTCTGCCCTAAGGCTGCTGCCCATCTCTTCGGCAGATTCGGACAAAAATGGGCGGGCCCTTTCCACACGCATCTGCTCTTTAATCTTTTTTTAAAAATTATTAATATATTTCTTTATTGATTTCAGAGAGGAAGGGAGAGGGATAGAGAGCTAGAAACATCGATGAGAGAGAAACACCGATCAGCTGCCTCCTGCACACCCACCACTGGGGATGTGCCCGCCACCAAGGTACATGCCCTTGACCGGAATCAAACCTGGGACCCTTCAGTCCGCAGACCGACGCTCTATCCACTGAGCCAAACCGGTTTTGGCTTGCTTACTTTTTTTGAATGGACAGCACGTGTACGGAAGCTGGAGCTGTGAAACAGGAAGTGCTCCGGATAGTTTAAAAGCCAAAGGAGAGCGGCCGGGTGGGGCCGCTCTGGCTCCCGGGAAGCCGGAGAGAAGGTGCCTGGGAGACAGGCTCAGGAGGCCAGCCCACGGTGAGCTGTCTCTGTCCCTGGTCCCCCTGGTTGCAGGTCTCCTGGGCACCTTCGGGTGAAGGAGATGAACGCCTGAGAGGGCAGAAGGTGTGGTCAGTGTGGCGCAGTGGTTGAGCGTCGACCTATGGCCCAGGAGGTCACGGTTCAATTCCCGGTCGTGGCACACGCCCGGGTTGCAGCTCGGTCCCCGGTGTGGGGCCTGCAGGAGGTAGCCGATCTGTGATTCTCTCTCATCATGGATGTTTTTATCTCTCTCCCCCTGTCCCTTCCTCTCTGAAATCAGTAGAAATGTATTTTAAAAAATGCATATGAAAGAAAAAGAGAGGCGTGGCAGGGCCTGATTTGATTAGTGAAGTGGAAAGGACGGGTGGGACCCGACCTGGACAGGGCAGAGTCAAGGACACATGGGCTCCCCGCCTCCGGGATGACTACCTCCTCCTGCAACCGCCACCGGGAGAGGAGGAAAGGCCACGGAGGCGGTGGGTCAGCTGACCGCGTTGGGGTGGGTCCGGGAAGCGGCTGGGCTAGATTTTCAGGATCTGAGAGGAGATAGGGCAACCCTCCCAGCAGATCCCTCTCTGCTCCACCAAGCTGCGTGTCCCATCTCGCCCCCAATTCCTCTCCGGGGCAGGGCCCCCTGGAGACATTCTTACCGGCACCAGGCACTTCCCTAACTAAGCCTGAGGGAGTGTCCCTTTCCATGTCAAAGGCCAGGTCATGGGACTGTGGCAGGACAGGCAGAAACTCAAAGCCGAGAGCCGCAGAGAGGAAAATGTTATAACAACCCCCCCCCCCCACACACACACACAAGGTCAGCTACCCACAGGCCACACAGAGCAGCCATATGCCCGCCATCTGGGATGCAGGCCACACAGAGCAGCCATATGCCCGCCGTCTGGGACGTGGCCTTGGGCCCCTGCTGATCAGCCGTGTAGGGAGGCGTCCTTGAAGAAACCACGAGGCTCAACGAAGCAGGCCGTGAATTTTCCAGAACCATTCCATACCTCGGAGGTAAGACCATGACCGCCTCTTTGCAGATGAGGAACCTGAGATAGAGAGAGGCGGGACTCGCCTCAGGTCCCGTCCTAGCTGAAGAGTGACAGTGTGGGAAGACGGCCCGGCAGCCCTGAGCACAGACCCCAGCGGGCATTGGAATGTCCTCCCTGCTGGCTGGCTCGGAGGCTGGAAGCAATATCTTCGTTCCCATCTGCCTGTCTCTGGAGCCCACGCCTCCTCTCCGGCCTGTGTGCCCCCCACTTCAGCCACCTGGGCCCCTGCCCTGAGTGCTTCCTCTCTGGCCACCAGCTGCCATCGGATGGGCCTAGCGTGTGGCAGGAAAAGGCCCCTGGAAATCCCTTCAGAGCACCACATCCACCTCTTTTGTTGCCCAGCGGTGGAAACCGAGGCCCAGATAGGGAAGTGACTTGTCCAAGGTCACAAAGCTCGCGAGGGACAGAGTGGAGACCAGAGCCCATGGCCGCTGACCCCTGACGAAGAGTCTCTGTTGCTCCTCCCTCCCCTCCCCTTCCTTCCCCCTCCCCTCCTCACCCCTCCCTTTCCCTCCTCTTCCCACCCCTCCCCTCCCTTTCTCTTCCCTCCCTTTCCCACCCTTTCCCTCCCCTCTCCACCTCTCTCCTCCCCTCCCCTCCCCTCCCTTCCTCTTCTCTCCCCTTGCCTCCCCTCTCCTCTCTGGCTCTTCAGGCTGGGCATTTTGGCTCTGAGATTGCTCCTTAAAGCAGGTTCCTTCTCTTGCTGTCCCTGACTGCACTCCTGGCTCCTTTCGCAGAGATGGCTGGCGATGGCCACAGTGAGGCAGCCGCTCAGTGATTCTCTCTCATCATTGATGTTTCTCTCTCTCCCTCTCCCTTCCTCTCTGAAATCAATAAAATACATTAAAAAATAAACATCATTATTTATTTTAATAAATAAAATCGTTAAAAAACAGTCAAATGAGCTGAAACCCGTTTGGCTCAGTGGTAGAGCGTCGGTCTGTGGACTGAAAGGTCCCAGGTTTGATTCCGGTCAAGGGCATGTACCTTGGTTGTGGGCACAACCCCGGTAGTGGGTGTGCAGGAGGCAGCTGGTCGATGTTTCTCTCTCATCGACGTTTCTAGCTCTCTATCTCTCTCCCTTCCTCTCTGTAAAAAAAATAAAAATAAAAAAACAAAACAAAACAAAAAAACCAGTCAAATATATATATTTCAGAGAGGAAGGGAGAGGGAGAGAGAAACATCAATGATGAAAAGAATCACTGAGCGGCTGCCTCCTGCACGTCCCTACTGGGGATGGAGCCCGAAACCCAGGTGTGTGCCCTTGAGCAGAATTGAACCCGGGCCGAGACCGGTTTGGCTCAATGGATAGAGCATCAGCTTGGGGACTGAAGGGACCCGGGTTCGATTCCGGTCAAGGGCATGTACCTTGGTTGTGGGCATATCCCCGGTAGGCAGCTGATCGATGACTCTCTCTCATCGATGTTTCTAGCTTTCCATCTCTCTCCCTTCCTCTCTGTATAAAATCAATAAAATATATTAAAAAAAAAAAAAGAATTGAACCCGGGACCCTTCAGTCTGCAGGCCGACGCTGAGCAAAACTGGCTAGGGCAGTAAATGACTCTTTCATAGCATTTGAAATGGGTTTAGTTCCTCAGCTCCAAGGTTTGCATTCACTACAAAATAATATAAAAAAAACAAAAATATCTATCTACATCACCAATCTTTCTCCCCTGGCCAGTGTGGCTCTGTTGGTTGGGCGCTGGTTGGACTCCCTGTCAGGGCACATGCCTGGCTTGTGGGCTCCATCCCCCATGGGGGTGCACAGGAGGCTCCAGCCTGCCCTTGGTCTGCGGGAGGGGCTCACTCTCACCGGAAGGCATTTCTTTTTTATTTTATTTTTATTGATTTCAGAGAGGAAGGGAGAGGGAGAGAGAGAAACATCAATGATGAGAGAGATCATTGGCTGCCCCCTACACATCCCACACTGGGGATTGAGCCCGCGTGCAACCTGGGTATGTGCCCTGACTGGGAATTGAACCATGACCTCCCGGTTCATAGGTCGATGCTCAACCACGGAGCCACGCCAGCCAGGCACATGTATAATAGTTTTTGATAAAGACGTGGACACATCTCTTAACTAAAATGAGCTTCAGCTGCCTCATTTTCAAGTAGGGGTAGTAGTGTTTATGTCACATGATTGAGAAAAGGCCTGGCACCTTGTAACTGCTCGATAAATATGATCTATTAGCCACCCGGAGGGAGAGACATGAGTAAAGGGGTAATTATAGTGGAGGGTGCGATGCTGTGATATCGTGGGTACAGGGTGTATCCGGAGCAGAGAAAACAGAGGTATAAGTCAGACGGGTGGAGAGCAGAGCAGGCTCACGGGAGGGGGCTGGACAGGCGAGGTGTTACCGTACAAGCTGGAGCTTGTTTCGCAGGCAGAAGCTGGGCCGGGTGCCTCCGGCAGAGGAACAACAGGTGCATGCGTCGTTAGAGCCAGTGAGAGCGCATACCCGAGCATCCTGCAAGAGTTCACGCATTTCACATTCTCTCTCCCGTTTGGGGACCAAGAGTTGCTCGTGCTGGACTTTTTAGCTGTTAGTCTCATGGCCCGTCTCCCGACAACAAATCAAGTTGAACCACACTTTGATCATAAAGCCACCGGAATGGGCCAGAAGACACAGCAAAGAATTTTGCTTCATGATAATGCAACATCACACACGTCAAAACCAGTTAAAGACCCGATAAAGGATCTTGCCTGGGAAGTATGAACCCACCCGCCATATTCACCAGATCTTGCTCCTTCAGATGACCACTTGTTCTGATCCATGCCACATGCACTGTCTGAGCAGCACTTCAAAACGTGCGAAGAAATGGAAAACTGGGTCTCTGAATGGTCTGCCTCAAAACAAGACAAGTTCTATTGGGACGGTATCCGCAAATTACCTGGAAGGTGGGGAAAATGTGCAGCTAGCGATGGACATTACTTTGAGCAAAGCACTTTTGATGTTTCTCTTGAAATTACCGTGTTTTCTCTGACTACAAAACCCGCATTATGAACCGGTAAAGGTCAACCCGCTTTTGTAACTGGTCCCAACACCTTTGGGGAGGAGGCTGCGGCTAGACCAGCGGTGTGAGCTTCTCGCTGGGCTGAAGGGCGGCCCCGCAGCAGTCTCTCCAGTTACAAACACCGTAACCATAAGGGCGTGTGTGCGGCTAAGCTCTTCCCCCAGGATGACGCCGCCGGGCCACCCTCTGACGTCATCGCTGGGTCCACAGAAAGACCCGGTTTCACCGTGGCGACCACATAGACGTGCTTTCGCACACGCACCGTCACACACGGACACAGAGGCAGTTCGGAAAGCTCCTCCCGCGCGATCGTGCTTGCCCTTTGCCAGCCATAGTCGCAGGGTCACGAGGGAGGGGCTGTGAGGCTCCCGCCGGGAAACGTTCAGACGGCGCCCCCCTCCGCGGAGAATGGTCGCGCCCAGGCCCCGCCCCCGCTGTCAGTTCAGGGCGGGGCCGTGGCCGGTGGGCGGGGCCGGACTGTGCTAAGTGCGGGGGGGGGGAGCGTGTGCAGCGGGCCGGCCGCCCTGGGGTTTTTGCCTCCAGTTGAACTTTTTGGACGTTAATCAAAACGCCGGGCGTGCAGGTGCGGGCGGAGGGGCAGGTGCGGGGGGTGCAGGTGTCGCCCCTCCACGGCTGCGGGGAGGACGCGCGGGGCCCGCCCCGTGGCCGCTCCACCCGGTGGCCGCACCCGCCCGGCGCCGGTGGGTGGGTGGCCCAGTTTCAGGGTTGGGAGTCGTGTGGTTTGTAGGGATCGCCGAAGTGTGGGGCCCCATGGCCCCGCAGGGAGGAGCCCCCCGGCTGGTGCTGCTGTTCAGCGGGAAGAGGAAATCCGGGAAGGACTTCGTGACCGAGGCGCTGCAGAGCAGGTGGGGAGGGGAGGGGGACCCCGCCACGTGACGCGGGGTGTGCTGGGTGGGCGTGAGCTTTGGCGTCAGGGCCCTGGGGTACAGGTGGGAGGAAGCGGGGGGATTGTCACCAGCACATGAACGGCAGTCTACACACACCCGCCCACCTGGAAGATACAGGCGACCACCTCTCCCAAGACCAGGCGGCAGGTCTCGCTCGTCAAGAAGCTTAATAAGTTACCACTAAGGCACTTTTTAAAATGATATATATATATTATTGATTTTAGAGAGGAAAGGAGAGGGGAGAGAGAGAGAGAGAGAGAGAGAGAGAGAGAGAGAGAGAGAGAGAGAGAGAGAGAGAGAAACATCAATGATGAGATCCATTGATCAGCTGCCTCCTGCACACCCCAACCGGGGATGGAGCCTGCAACCCAGGCACGTGCCTTGGCTGGAATCGAACCTGGGACCTTTCAGTCCGCAGGCTGATGTTCTATTCACTGAGCCAAACCAGCTAGGGCACTAAGGCACTTTTTACACTCCGTTCCCAACCCAGCGACAGGGCTGGGAGCTCACCTGTACAGGCATGGAAACAGTTGCAGGGAAAGGATTGTGTCTGGCTCTGATTGAGTCTGGCTCCAAAGACATAAAAATCCTGGCTCAGCACACCATCTACTAGTTGGGGTTTAATTGAGCCTTTATTATGAGCCAGGCTGTGTGTTTATAGTAATATATGATCTCATTTAATCCTCCAAACCTCTTTGTTAGGGTTCTGTGTAGTATTAGTGTCTCCATTTCACAGATGCAGAAACCGAGTCTCTGAAAAGAAAAACAAACAAACACAAAAAACAGAAAAAACAGCCGAAACCGGTTTGGCTCTGTGGATAGAGCATTGGCTTGAGGACTGAAAGGTCCCAGGTTCGATTCCGGTCAAGAGCATGTACCTGGGTAGCATGATTCTCTCTCATCGATGCTTCTAACTTTCTATCCCTCTCCCTTCCTCTCTGTAAAAAAATCAATAAAATATATTAAAAAAGAGAGAGAGAGAATCTGTGAGCATACAGTTCAGCACAGTCAGAGGCTGGCTGGGTACATTGGACTGAATGAATGAATGACGGCTGTTGTGGTGACCGAGTCGGTTGCGGCTGCAATACCCCCCCAGCTCGGCTGGGAGACGGGCTCAGGGGTCCAGCAGGAAAGCATCTACCCAGAACACCACGCTGCCACCATAGTTTTTCCTTTTTACCTGGGACTCTGGGCCTGGAAGACCCAGCGAACTGGGCATGGGTCTCTGTCCCACAGACTCGGAGCGGACGTCTGCGCTGTCCTGCGGCTCTCCGGCCCTCTCAAGGAGCAGTATGCCCAGGTAGGAAGGAGGCGGCTCTCGGTGACACGGGACCTTTGGGGGCGGGAAGGAGCCAGCGCCTGGCACGGTGGCTGTGGCTGTCGTCTGAGGCGCTAGGAGGATCCCTGTGACCGCTGCTGGCGGGTGTGTGTGTGTGTGTGTGTGGGGGGGGGCGCAGCTCTCCGTTTCCTGTGAGCGGACTTTTTTGGGGCATTTTCAACCTGCACTTCTTTCCCGTGGCCTCTCTCACGTCAGGCCCCTCCCCAGGGCAGGTTCAGGAAAGTCCCTCCAGCCCTGCCAGGCCTGGCCGGTTTGGCTCTATGGATAGAGCGTCAGCCTGCGGGCTGAAGGGTCCCAGGTTCGATTCCAGCCAAGGGCACATGCCCAGGTTGTGGGCTCGATCCCCAGGGTGGGGCATGCAAGAGGCAGCCAATCGATAATTCTCTCACATCATTGATGTTTCTCCTCTCTCTCTCCCTTCCTCTCTGAAATCAATAAAAAAGGAAAAAGAGCAGGGACCGGTTTGGCTCAATGGATAGAGCGTCGGCTTGGGGACTGAAGGGTCTCGGGTTCGATTCCGGTCAAGGGCATGTACCTTGGTTGCTGGTATATCCCCAGTAGGGGGTGTGCAAGAGGCAGCTGATCAATGACTCTCATCGATGTTTCTAACTCTCTATCTCTCTCCCTTCCTCTCTGTACAAAATCAATAAAATATATTTAAAAAAATAAAAAGAAAAAAGGAAAAAGAAAAAGGGCATGCAGGAAAGGCTGGAGCGTGGAGGTGGATTAGTGAGCGCCTGCACACACACACTCTCCCTCAGGCCACCATCTTGGCCTCAGCTGGTGCCACACCCAGGGGTGCTCCCCTGACATTCAGTTGCATGGTTTGCCAGGCTGTATTATTAAGTGAAACAAACAAACAAGATTTGGAACCGTGGATAGAGGATGCTGTATAATATCAGGGGAAGATGGTAAATACATCTGCTCCCATTGCCAGCCATGCAGCCAATATCTATGGGAGCCTGCATTGTGTTAACCCAGTGGTCGGGAAACTGTGGCTCGAGAGCCACGTGCGGCTCTTTGGCCCCTTGCGTGTGGCTCTTCCACAAAACACCGCGTGTGGGCGCGCACGTACGTACGGTGCGATTGAACCTTCGTGGCCCTCGCGCAGAAGTCGGTTCTCGGCTCTCACAAGGAATTTCAGTCGTCGTCCTGTCGATATGTGGCTCTGTTGACCGATGAGTTTGCCGACCGCTGTGCTAAGCACCGTTCAGACGAGCTGAAAGCTGGGACGGGCACCGGAGAGACGGTGCCATCGGGGCCGTCAGGGCGGGCGCTGGGGGCTGGGCACGTGGCGGGAGGGGGCGTTTTCACTGCACGTGCACCTCTATCTTTTGACTTTTGAACCCCGTGGGGGATTTTATAAAGATGAACAGGATTTTTAATATATATTTTATTGATTTTTGTACAGAGAGGAAGGGAGAGAGAGAGAGAGAGAGCTAGAAACATTGATGAGAGAGAGTCATTGATCAGCTGCCTCTTGCACACCCCCTACTGGGGATATGCCCGCAACCAAGGTACATACCCTTGACCGGAATCGAACCCGGGTCCCTTCAGTCCCCAAGCTGACGCTCTATCCATTGAGCCAAACCGGTTTCGGCCGGCGTGGCTTCTGTCTGTGGTTGGGATTTCTCCGATTCCAGAGCCTGCTCCCTTGCAGGCCTCTGTCCTGGAGGAAACCCCCTGGGCCCTGCCTTGTCCTGGGGGAGGGGGGTGGGAGAAGGGAGGGTGAGGCCGGGCGTGGACATCGGACATCGGGTCTCCTGTGCCTTGGGCAGGAGCACGGCCTGAACTTCCAGAGGCTCCTGGACGCCAGCGCCTACAAGGAGTCCTACCGGCGGGACATGATCCTCTGGGGCGAGGCGCGGCGCCAGGCGGACCCCGGCTTCTTCTGCAGGAAGGTGGTGGAGGGCGTGGCCCAGCCGGTCTGGGTAAGGGTGCCGCGGGCAGCAGCAGGAAACTCCGTTCCCCCAGTCCTCCCGATCCCGGGTGAGACTCAGATGTGTCCCCTTCTCCCTCCGCGCTGCCACCTCCCGTGGCCCAAGCCCTGCCCAGCCCTCCCCCGGACAGCCTCCTGCCCGCACTGGTGCGGGGGTAGAGTTACGAGGGTCTCTTTCTGGCCCCGTTTGCTCATCTGTGAAGTGAGTGTGTTGAACCAGCCGCAGTGGTCGGCTCACTGCAGCTCGTGAGCCGCGGTTTGCTGCTCGGTTGACTAATGAGTTTGCCGGCCGCTGCCTTAGGGAAAAACACGTAAAAGCCATTTTAATAGCCCTAGCCAATTTGGCTCGGTGGATAGGGCGTCGGCCTGCGGACTGAGGGCCCCAGGTTCGATTCTGGCCAAGGGCACATGCCCAGGTTGTGGGCTAGATCCCCAGTGGGGGGCGTGCGGGACACAGCCGATCAATGATTCTCTCTCATCGTTGATGTTTCTATCTCTACCTCTTCCTTTCTGAAATCAATAAGGAAATATATATATAATGTACTAATGTCTTTAATCTGAAGTCAAAACTTCTGGGTAAGGATAATGCCTTACCCAGTGGTCAGCAAACTCATTAGTCAACAGAGCAGCAAACTTCTGCTTGAGAGCCGCAGTTTGCCAACCACTGAACTATTTGAACTGATTGCAAAGCCCGAGGCTTCTTCCTTAGCCCAGCGATGACCAGCACGGCCCCCGAACACACGTGTAACAATGACAGAGCGTGGGCAGCGTGAGCTGCAGGCTGCAGCAATCAGGGAGGGCTGCCTGGAGGAGGCGGAGGCGATGTCTGTCCCAGCTGGTTGGGTGATAAGGGGAATGGGGGTAAGCTGGCCTGGGCTCTTTCGTGTGCCCCCTCCCCCCCGCAACTTCATTGCGCTCCTGCTTATCCAAAGGAGGGCTGGGTCTGCCCCTCTCCCTCCCCTCCCTGCAGCACCCTTTCCGTGCTCCCTGCACCGCGTCCTGCTGGTCACTGTCTGTGTCCTTCCCTGCAGCTGGTGAGTGACACGCGGCGGGTGTCCGACATCCAGTGGTTCCGGGAGGCCTACGGGGCGGCGGCGCAGACCGTCCGCGTGGTGGCCTCTGAGCAGACCCGGCAGCGACGGGGCTGGGCGTTCACGCCAGGTGAGCCGCTTGCAGCCTCTGCCCCAGGGCTCGGCGCACAGCTCCCCACCCACCTGCAGACCCGGTCACAGCTCCCCACCCACCTGCAGACCAGGTGCACAGCTCACCACCCACCTGCAGACCAGGTGCACAGCCCACCACCCACCTGCAGACCAGGTGCACAGCCCACCTCCCACCTGCAGACCAGGTGCACAGCCCACCTCCCACCTGCAGACCAGGTGCACAGCTCCCCACCCACCTGCAGACCAGGTGCACAGCTCCCCACCCACCTGCAGACCAGGTGCACAGCCCACCTCCCACCTGCAGACCAGGTGCACAGCTCCCCACCCACCTGCAGACCAGGTGCACAACCCACCTCCCACCTGCAGACCAGGTGCACAGCTCACCACCCACCTGCAGACCAGGTGCACAGCCCACCTCCCACCTGCAGACCGGGTGCACAGCTCACCTCCCACCTGCAGACCAGGTGCACAGCCCACCTCCCACCTGCAGACCGGGTGCACAGCTCACCACCCACCTGCAGACCAGGTGCACAGCCCACCTCCCACCTGCAGACCGGGTGCACAGCTCACCTCCCACCTGCAGACCAGGTGCACAGCCCACCTCCCACCTGCAGACCGGGTGCACAGCTCACCACCCACCTGCAGACCAGGTGCACAGCCCACCTCCCACCTGCAGACCGGGTGCACAGCTCACCTCCCACCTGCAGACCAGGTGCACAGCCCACCACCCACCTGCAGACCGATTCACAGCCCACCACCCACCTGCAGACCGGGTGCACAGCTCCCCACCCACCTGCAGACCGGGTGCACAGCTCCCCACCCACCTGCAGACCGGGTGCACAGCCCACCACCCACCTGCAGACCGATTCATAGCCCACCACCCACCTGCAGACCGGGTGCACAGCTCCCCACCCACCTGCAGACCAGGTGCACAGCTCCCCACCCACCTGCAGACCCGGTCACAGCTCCCCACCCACCTGCAGACCAGGTGCACAGCTCACCACCCATCTGCAGACCGGGTGCACAGCTCCCCACCCACCTGCAGACCAGGTGCACAGCCCACCTCCCACCTGCAGACCGGGCCACAGCTCCCCACCCACCTGCAGACCAGGTGCACAGCCCACCTCCCACCTGCAGACCGGGCCACAGCTCACCACACACCTGCAGACCGGGTGCACAGCTCACCACACACCTGCAGACCTGGCTGCCTTCTCCCATGTGCTCGGCCGCCTGCTCTCCTCCCGGAAGGGGTGGGAGAGTGAGCGAGGGCTTAGGAAAGGGAATCCGAGACTCAGGAGCGTCCCAGGCTAGAAAGTGGGGAGTGGTGGGGCAGGCATGGGGGGAGGGAAGGGAGTAGAGGTTCCCTGTGATGTTGGCGGGTGCCCTCACTGGACCGTCCTTTCTTTCTTTTAAATATATATTTTATTGATTTTTCACAGAGAGGAAGGGAGAGGAGTAGAGAGCCAGAAACATAGATGGAGAGAAACATTGATTAGTTGCCTCCTGCACACCCCCTCGTAGGGATGTGCCTGCAGCCAGGGCACATGCCCTTGACCGGAATCGAACCCGAGACCCTTCAGTCCGCAGGCCGACGCTCTATCCATTGAGCCAATCCAGTTAGGGCGGGCTGTCCTCTCTAAGCCAGTGGGCTCCTGGAGGAGTGGCGAGGGCCCACCCCCAACCCAGGCCTGTTTGATGGGCAGGGTGGGGGGCGGGAGCAAGAGGTTGCTGCGCGAGGGAGGCAGCCTCAGTGGTGCGAGCTGAGCGAGGACCTGCTCTGTGCAGTGCGGAGGTGCAGGCCGGGCCCCCCCTGCCCTCGCTCACTGGGACTCGGGGAAGTTCAGATCCAGTGGGTACAGCCCCTCCCGGTGGCCGTGCATCTCTCCGGCGCCCAGCACGGCCGGCCTGTGCTAAACACTCTGCACCTCGCTCGTAAACCGGCCAGGTGATGCCCATAGCGCCCTTCTCCCCTCCAACGAGGGTGGCACACAGAGACTCAGGGACAGACAGCAGGAGCAATGAGCGTCACACTGAGTGACAGCCCCTTCTGGGTGGTCTGTGGTTCAGGGGGCCCAGTTCGCCCTCTGTAGGAAGCCGCAGTGGACAGTTTAGTCAGCGGCGCCCTCTGAGGGCTCAGGGGGCCCCGGGCTCCTGAACCTGCTTTCGGGGCGTTCCCGGGGGTCGGGGAGTACCTTCCGTGGGGTGGGTGTGGGGAGGGGCTTGGCTCTGGAGTGGAAGGGGAGAGGCCGGGCGTGGGTGCCCTGCCTAGGCCAGCAGGCCTCCACGCTAAGGTGACCAGACGTCCCGCTTTTGGCGAGACGTCTGGTCGCCTTACTCCACGCCCGTGCCCGTCTGGAAGGAGCAGGCCTGACCCTTGACCCCGCCATGCCTCCTCCGCAGGAGTGGACGACGGGGAGTCTGAGTGTGGCCTGGACGCCTTTGGGGCCTTCGACTGGGTCATCGAGAACGACGGAGACGGGCAGCGCCTGGAGGAGCAGCTGGAGACCCTGCTGGGATTCGCCCGCTCCAGGCTTTAGCTGTTCTGGGCGCACAGGAGCCGCGGCGGGGACGGGGGCTGACCGGCCGGCGGGGTGGCTGATGCTGGCCAAACGGGGAGCACCCCGAGGGTCTGGGCCCAGCACGTGTCAGACCAGACAAGGAGCCTCCAGGAACTATAACTCTTCTTGAATACCTGGCTACTGACTTCAGAGAGGAAGGGGGAGGGAGAGAGAGAGAGAGAAACATCAATGATGAGCATCATCGATCGGCTGCCTCCTGCACCACGCCCCCTACTGGGGATGGAGCCCGAAACCCAGGCATGTGTCCTGACCAGGAGTTGAACCATGACCTCCAGGTTCATAGGTCGATGCTCAACCACTGAGCCACATCAGTGGGGCCAGGACCTCATTTCCTTCTTTTTTTATAAAATATGTATTTTTATTGATTACAGAGAGGAAGGGAGAGGGAGAGAGAGAGAGAAACATCAATGACGAGAATCATCGATCGGCTGCCTCCTGCACGCCCCCTACTGGGGATGGAGCCCACAACCCAGGCGTGCGTCCATGACTAGAATCAAACCGGCGACCTTTCAGTCCGCAGGCTGACGCTCTGTCCACGGAGCCACACCGGTGGGGCCAGGACCTCATTTCGTTACGGACTGGGCTGCCCGGCCTCTCGGGAGGAGACTGAAAGGGCAAAGGGCGGTGCTGGAGGCAGGAACATCCCCATCTCCGTGGGCGCCTGGCCGGCAGCCCGTGGTGGCCTCGCTCCCCCATCAGGATGCTTGCGGCCCCTTGTTCTGGGCAGGAGTGTGGCCACGAATAAACCTCCTCGGGGCACGCGCTGTGCGCTGGCCGTGTTTCCCCTCCCAGGCGCCGGCCCGGCCCGTGGGCTCCCGGGGCTCGGCTGTCCCGGTGGCGGTGGGTTTGAGCTCTGCCTTGCTCCTGGGCTGGAACCCGTCCTCAGAGGCTGGCCTGGGCCTGGGCCGGGCAGGCGGGAGGGCTGTTCGTGTCACAGACAGCGTCGGGGTCCTAGGGTCCCCTCCCCTGGGATGGCCCCCAAAGAGGCTCCCGCAGCAGGCACCCCGAGGGTATCCCCGAGGGGCCCCGAGAGCCAGGCTCCTGTGAGCCCTGGCAGCTCTGTTCGGCGGAGGCCGGGGACGGCCCCGGGGTGTAGGCCGCCTCGCACGGTTTGTAGGTGCCGTTCCGATGGTTCGAAGCCAGCCTGTGGCGTGGGCAGGAAGAGCCCCTTCAGCTCAGAGAAGGGAGCCGGCGTGCTTTGGGTCAGAGGGCAGTGGATGTCCGTGCCCAGAGAGCCCACGCAGCTGCCCGACCGACCCCCGGGCAGGGCATGGCCCCTTCCCAGAAGGCCCGGAAGTCTCCTTCCAAATCTGGGAGACAAAGGAGCCAGGAAAAGCATACATAGAAAGCTTTCCTCCGTGAGGGGAGGGGGGGGAGGCGGAATTGGAAAGACACATTTTTCTTGGGCCTGTGCATAATAAAACGTAACTCCCTTTCTCTAAGCGTGGCTTGTTTTTTCTCCAGTCTTCTGTAACAATATGATACCTCAACGTCTCCACCTTGAAATTTCGTATTTTAACTCCTCTCCAGACAGTTGATGTGCCTTCAAATTATATCTATATCTATATATCTATATCTATATCTATAAACCTATACCTATACCTATACCTATACCTATCTATATATCTATATATCTACCCCTACCCTACACCTATACCTATATCTATCTATCTATATGTATATATATCTATATATATGTGTATATATCTATACATCTATATATCTATACATCTATACATCTATCTATCTATCTATCTATCTATCTATCTATCTATATATTTTTTAAAGGGCATGGGGGTGATGCATTGCTGAGCTGTGCATGAGTGAATGACAGGCTGTTACCTCTGCAGTGACTTGGCCGGCATGGGGTCCGTGACCTGGTTTCACGTCTGACAGTATTTAATGCTGCAGAGTCTCAGGTCACCTTGACTTTTGTTCCTTTATAGGCAACCTCCTTTTTTTTCTGTCTGGAAGCTTTTGGATCCTCCCACCCTCTCCCTCTTCATTTTTGAAATTCAAATTTTGGCATTCTCCAAGGCAGAATGTGGACGCGTCTTAGCAGAGAGAAGTTGGTGCTTGGTGTTTCCCGTAAAGCGTGCCTGAGCGATGAGACGGGAAGTCAGATGGCCTTGGACACTCCGCGCCCGCTGCCCGCTGCAGCCTCAGGTCGACTCCGTGGGTGTTGGGCTCAGACCCTTCGGAGTGCCGCTGCCATCGATGTCTCCTGGAGATCCTCTGTTTGGAGGAGCTGGTCTCGGGTGGCAGATTCCCCCTCCTGAAAGCAGGTTTGGGTTTTGGAAACAGTCAAAGGAAATGTGCTACAGTCTGGTGAAGGGGACAGGGTGAGTGATGTACTTGTCTTTTTCTTTTCTTTCTTTCTTTTCTTTTTTTTTTTTAAATATATTTTATTGATTTTTTACAGAGAGGAGGAGAGAGGGATAGAGAGCTAGAAACGTCGATGTGAGAGAAACATCGACCAGCTGCCTCCTGCACACCCCCAACCGAGGATGTGCCCACAACCAATGTACATGCCCCTGACCGGAATCGAACCTGGGACCTTTCAGTCCACAGACCGATGCTCTACCGCTGAGCCAAACCAGTTTTGGGTCTTTTTGTTTTGTTTTGCTAGAATAAGTGGTACTTGTAATGTAACAACTCTAAAACTTCCTCAAAGCCAATTCTTAGAGAGGAATTTTATTTTATTTTAAAAATATATATTTTATTGATTTTCCACAGAGAGGAAGGGAGAGGGAGAGAGAGCTGGAAACATTGACCAGCTGCCTCCTGCATACCCCCTACCGGGAATATGCCCACAACCAATGTACATGCCTTTGACCGGAATCGAACCTGGGACCTTTCAGTCCACAGGCCGATGCTCTATCCACTGAGCCAAACGGTTTCAGCTACAGAGGAATTTTAGAGTTGTCCTATCACCCGAGCCTTCTCTGCCTGAAGTGCCCTTCCCAGTGGGCGGGCTTGGACCTCCCCCCTCAGAGCACCTCATAGTGTGCGCTCCCTCACTCCTCCACCAGGGAGGCCTGGCACATAGTCTCCATCACTGTAGAAATGGGAACGTTCTGTAAGTGTGAGGGAGCTACAGGGCCTCCCAACTACTGTCTTACAGCAGTCAGCCTGCGTTCACTGGGATGAGGACAGTGTGTCTGAAGCAACAGCATGCTGACTGTGGTTGCATTGCCTGTGTATGTGCAGTGGTGTGCTGGCTAATGGCCAAACAACGGCTTTCTGATGTTTGGTGTTTGACTCTCTCTCTAGTGTAAACGCTCCACCGTAGATCATTGTGAGGCCACTGGCCAGCAGAATGACCCAACACTTAAACATCAGGTCTCACAAGCTGGCTCCTTCCTACTGCAGGAATTCCACAAACTTCTACACTTTTTCCTTTTTCACTTTTACCGGTTCATCTGAGTGGCCCTTTTGCTGTTTGTTTATGTATTTATGTATGCATGCATGTATTTATTTATTTATAGCACGTGTCTACGTATTGTACATACCTTGTATCCATCCCATCATTACTCTTATTTTTAAAAATTACATATATTTTATTGATTTTTTACGGAGAGGAAGAGAGAGGGATAGAGAGTCAGAAACATTGATGAGAGAGAAACATCGATCAGCTGCCTCCTGCACACCCTCCACCAGGGATATGCCCACAACCAAGGCACATGCCCCTGACCAGAACCGAATCCGGGACCCTTCAGTCTGCAGGCCGACGCTCTATCCACTGAGCCAAACCGGCTTCGGCTATGGGGACGTTTTATTGCTTAGTGATGGGGACTTTCTGGCATGGAGCCCTAGGCGGAGGGCCTGGTGTGGGACTGGGAACACTCGCTCCCCCGGTGGGGACCTCTGAAACCGAGCCATCCCTCCCGGTGTGTCCGTCACACATGGATGTGGGACCAGACCGTTCCCCTGGATGTGGCTTCTTTAATTCTGTGGTTGTAGGACTTGCATTCAGCTCGAGGTCAGGGGGCTCTGATGGACGGTCATTCCGGAGTTCAGCTGTCATGCTGATGAGGATGTGGGAAGAGGCGGTCTTGACCAGGAGTTCGAGTTATTATTTGTATATTTTTCTTTTCCTACCCCACCCTTTTCGGAAGATGAGACAGAATCTGTGTCCAGGCCACAGCGGTGTCGGGGTGAGGGGTCTGGGACACTCCAAGGAGGCCACAGCGGGGAAACCACTGTCCTCCGCTCGGTGGAGAAGGGCACGGGCGGGGGTGGGAGGTGGGGACTGGCCAAGCAAGACGGCCTCCAGCCCTCTCAGCTCCTGCTGGCCGGTCTTCCATGGCCGCCTGGGCTCGCTCTTCAGCGGGGCGTGCGCTAGGGAGGTCTGTGAGGGCTTTGGTGACGGCCCCGGGGCTGTGGTCTGGTGTGATCCGGTGTGGTCCGGTGTGGTCTGGTGTGGTCTGGCGTGGCCTGGCGTGGTCTGGTGTGGTCCAGTGTGGTCCAGTGTGGTCTGGCGTGGCCTGGTGTGGTCTGGTATGGTCTGGTGTGGCCTGGCGTGGTCTGGTGTGGTCTGGTGTGGTCCGGTGTGGTCTGGCATGGTCTGGTGTGGCCTGGTATGGTCTGGTGTGGTCCGGTGTGGTCTGGCATGGTCTGGCGTGGTCTGCACAGGAGGATGCTCCATGCTCCAGGGGGTGGGGACTCCGTGCCAGCACACAGCACCTGAGGGCCCTTCACAGCTGTGACTCAGTGCTTCCTGGTGTCGATCTTCTCTGTCGATGGTGAACAAACAGGCGTTGGGTACGTCGGTGTCCTTGTTAGTGGTGGTCCTGGACAGAGACAGAGGCGAGAGGTGGGGGGGGGGGCAGAGCCCCTCAGGGGTTATTGTCCTGAAACCTTCAGAAGTGTGGCTCCTGAACAGGCTTGCAAACAGCAGCTGACCCTGCCTCACCCAGTCTCCGCTCAGGCCCCAGCGGGACACATACACACACACA